TCATGTTTCATGAATCCAAAATGATCTTGAACCTATCCATATTAACCGAGACGAAAACTTCTATTGCGCAATGCTGGAAATTGTTATTCATCGGTGTGTTATCGTCCTAAAATCACATTGAACTAGGTTTTTCTTAAAGGTTAGCTTACGACTGGTACACTGTACGGTGCACCAGTATGGGCGGCGGCTCTAACCACCTGGGATAGGGCACGCCTTTGGCGTCATCAGAGGATATTGGTGGTTAAAGCCATACGCGGTTACCGCACTGTTTCGACGAAGGCGACTTGCGCGTTGGTCGGACCTCCCTCGTGTGATTTGGAGGCGGAAGTGCTCGTCGAAGTATATCGGCGGACGGCTGAGAACCGAGCGAGTAGTGGCAGTCGGCCGTCGCCCGTCGTCGAGATACACCAGTGACGTGAGGCTGCCGGTTATCGTCGAGTGGGCAAGGCAGCAACATGGGACCCTTTCTTTCCGAATGACGCAGGTCCTTTCCGGGCACGGCTGCTTCGGAAAGTACCTGCACTCGGTCGCTAGGATGAAATTGAGTCCCGCCTGTCACCACTGTGGTTGCAGTGAGGACTCGGCTCAGTATACGCTGGCAATTTGCCAGGCTAGGGCGTCGCAGCGACGGGTCCTCATTGTAGTCATCGGAGGAGACCTCTCGTTAGCGGCCGACATATTCTCCATGGTCGGTAGTGACAGATTTTTTATCGCTATGTGGATGATGGACAACCTCCACTTGGAGGCACGCTTATCGCCTCACGCCGCCCTGAGTGTGGCCGCGGGTGGACGAGGACGGGTTTTTGCCTCCATCCACTCGAGTGGCCAGCCGCGAGGAGTAAATAGAGAATTCACCCGAAGGTGGTCCCCGCGCTTTGCGGGCAGGCGCTAAGAGGGGTCCGGATGTTTTAACAACACCAGTTCCCGGATAGCAGGGGCAAAGTGGCACACCAAGCTACAAGCCCCGTTGGGGTGACAGCCAGAAGTTTTTCTTAAATTTGATAACTTCATGATATATATTACTTCAAATTGATGATAAACTGGTCAGTATTTATGGTTAAAATATATTTTGATGAGACTGCATATTCTATTAGTAATGAAATATAGATTAACAAGCGTTGGGGGTTAAAGGTCTTCGCAATGTATGTAGGTAACATTGTGAACGTTTCATTTTGCTGGTTCCTTTATAGAGGGCCGTCTACTTGACACCTGCACTCTTTGAAAATGTAATCATTTTCAGATGGCGCAAGGGTAAAGGTAAGTTGATTTAAGAAAACGCAAGTCTCGAATGGAGAATCGAAATAGAAATTGTGCCTGCTATCATATGTCTCTCTTGTTATATGCCTGTCAGATCAAGTGGTCATTATAATAATAATAATAATAATAAGTATTTTTTATTTTCTCTCACACAGAATGACAAATCTTGACATATTAAAGTAGATACACAGTTATAGGTGAGTTGAATCTGTGTGAGAGACTGGTATCTGCACTAGGTACACCTGTATTACAGATTACCAGCCTCTCCTGACACTAGATGCGTAAGTGTTATCCTGTAGGTATAACTTGATTAGGTGAGAGCTAAAGCAAAGTGAAGTGAAAGAAAAATGTGTGTGTGTGTGTGTGTGTGGGAATATGCGTGATTGAACGTGATTTACAAAGGAAATACATGGCACCAATATGTGTAGATACGACTATATTTATACAGAACTAGATATATAGATCTTAGATAATTGTCTATTGCGGGACATATAACAGATTTTCCGTTTCCTCATAACTGAGTGTTTTCAGCCAGTCAGAAATAGCCCTTTTGCAGCGATATTTTGAAAGGCAATAGATGTCTAAAATTGCATTTACCCTGTTATATAAGTACCTGCCCATGAAACCAAAGAATTTACCAGAGAAAGCTGTGGTCCTGCGACAATCACTTTTTTGGACTACTTTATGTTTTAGCCGTTTATTAGTAAGTGATGGGTCGTAAGGTAGCATTGAATGCTGTCTTATGATTATGCTTAGAACGTACAGTTGGCGTACCGTCAGGACGTTGGTAAGATGGTATAGGTCCCTTGTTGGGTGTAAGAAGGGGAGTGAGTAACTTACCTTTAGAACTGCCCGTTGAGCTCTTTCTACCTTAATCAAGTTAGATTTACATGCACCGCCCCACACTGATATACAGTATGACAGTATAGACTGACATAGGGACATGTAAACCAGATTGATCACTTTCCTATCTGCTACGCGACGCAAATTTTTAAAGATAAAAATTAATTTACGAGTTCTTGCTGCGAGTAGGTCTAGATGGTAATTAAAGTTAAGGGTGCTGTCAATTACCACCCCTAAGTATTTAACGTGTGAGACACTTTCCAGGTGGTAGCAAAAACAGGTTTGGTTGGGTAGGCATGAATGGGCTATGATAGAGTAGTCATCATGTACGTTGGGTGAAGTATTTTTAATAGCGAAAGGTATAAACTTTGTTTGTCAACATTAAGGGTTAGTCTATTGTTCTTGAGCCAAAAGGACACCTCGTTGAAACCCATTTGTGCGGAGGTGTAAGTGTCCTCCCAGGTGTCTCCATGAAAAATCATCGCAGTGTCATCTGCGAAGGTCACTATTTTGCCGTTAGCAAGTTTGAGATTACAAAGGTCGTTGATGTAGGTGAGAAAGAGCGTTGGACCTAGTACACTGCCCTGCGGTACGCCGAACTCCATAGGTACGTCATCGCTAATAACATCACCAACTCTCACCCTTTGGTATCTGTCGGTGAGATAATCAGCAAACAACTTATGCTGTATGCCTCGAATACCTAATTTTTCCAGCTTGTCTAGTAGGAGTGGGACAGAGACCGTGTCAAAAGCCTTGGCTAAGTCTAGGAATATAGAGATGACTTTTTTCTTTTTATCTAATTTGTGCACAATATGATCCGTTAATGCGTGGATAGCATCATTAGTTGATGTACTTGCTCTGAAGCCAAATTGGGATGTTGATAAAAGTTTTTTAGTTTCCAGGTAATTAGTTAAACGTTTATTTAAAAGTTTCTCTATCAATTTAGAGATTGTTGGTAGAATCGAAATGGGCCTATAGTTATTGACACAGGCTCTGTCTCCACTTTTGTAGATAGGGATCACTTCAGCAAGCTTGAATTCCTTGGGAAATACACCAGTATTAAACATAGCATTAATAATATAGGTTAAGGGTGGCACGAGAATGTTGTGGTACCGTTTTAGGAAGAATCCAGAGATGTTGTCCCGTCCAGTTGTATTGACCTTTTTAAGACCCAAGATGTAACTGCGAACTTCTGCTTCAGAGGTTGGCGCAAGTGCGAATGAAGAATGAGCGGATTCCGCAGTCTGTTCAATGGTTACGTTATTGGGTATAATTTTATCGGCTAGATTCTTCCCCACTGAGGCAAAAAAGCTATTTACATTATTTACTGATGTTGTTGGGTTTGTAGATGATAACAGGTCAGTAGCTGTTTTCAATTCTTTGTTGTAGTATGTGATTTTTTTTATAGTGTCCCACAACTTTTTGCTGTTAGTCTTTACCGCATTGTTTAAAAGATCTTTTTCATAGTCTGTTTTTACCTTGTTTAGCAGCTGGTTACAGAAGTTTCTATACCTAATATAAGTTATCTTGATAATTTCATTATTCGGATTTTTATTACATTTTATGTGAAGTTTGTCCCGGTTTTTTACGCATCTTAACAGACCGAGAGTCATCCATGGTTTTTTAAGACGTTTGCGATTTGAAACAGTGATGGTTCTAGTGTTGGACTCAATTGTTGAGCTAAGCTTAGATACGAAAAGAGAAGTAGCTGTACTAACGTCGCTTGAGTCATAGATGGAGTCAAAGCACATGTTCTCCATATCAGTGTCTAATTTTTCGTATTCTATTTTCTTAATAGAGACTGGTTTTTCAATCTGGACGCGGTATTTTAGTGTAAAAAAGACACAGTCATGATCAGTTACTGACGTCTTGGCGACATGGCAGTTGGCTGGAAGTGTGCTTTTGAGCATAACATGGTCTAAGCATGTTTTGCCGTGGGTGGGTAATTGGTGTGCCGGTAAAATACTGTGAGAGGCGAGTAGGTTTAGATATGTTAATGAGTTAGGGTCTTTGGTATTTGGCATTATATCTATGTTAATATCTCCCATGATGATAATATTCGTGGATTTTAAACTACTAAGTAACTTATCCAAGGACTCGATAAACGGTTGTATATTTTTGTATCCCGGCGGACGGTAAACTGCGACCAGAGTTGTATTAGAGTCCAAGTTAATTGTCAAACAATTTGCATCTAGTAAGGTAGTATCTAGTACAGTTAACCGCATAGTGTTTTTGAAGTAAACTACAACCCCTTCATTCTGCGTTAGGCTACTATCATTTTTTAAATAATTGTAACCGTCTATGTTCGGCACATAATGTGTGTGACGCAACCAACATTCTGTGACCACAATCACATCCCAGTCAGTATTGGACCTTTCCAGTAGCGTTCGAAATCCTGAAATATTGCGATTTAAGCTACGAATGTTTTGTTGAATAATTTTTAGGTTCAAATGTGGGTTGTTTATTAGTTTCGGGTATGTTTGCTTACACCATTTCTGGGTAGGTTCTGGAACAGTGTAAGGAAGAATAATGGAATGAAGTCAGGAAATTCAATATTCAATAGCCCAGAAAACAAATGACAAACAGTACAATCAACCAAAATTGAATATCTTTATACACACAACTACTCCAGTTAGTTCTGATTTTTATTAAATAAATAAAATGAAAAATATATCTAAATCACCTCAACCTTAATAAAATTAATTTCGAGAATCACAAATATCTCAAAAATGGAGTCATCGTTTTAAGAATTTAAGAACGTCTTGTCATGTCAAAATTGTCAAAACCCAACGTCAAAATAAAAACACAGCATGGTGCTACGCGTGTAAATGTGTGATACAATTTTGTCTTTACTTTAGTGATTTAATGGTTAAAACAATATATTATCAAATGGTGTGAAAATGCTTAAACCCAAAGAAATGGATGACCATTTACCGGGCTTTGATGCCCCTGCAGAAGAAGAGTCACCAGCTGACTCTCAAAGCAAAAGTAAGAAAAAGAAAGCATCTGGTGGTTTTCAGTCAATGGGACTAAGCTTTCCAATTATAAAAGGTATTACAAAAAGAGGATATAAGCAGCCGACACCTATACAACGAAAGGTATGTAAAGTAGGACCATATGCAACCTAACCTTAAAAGTTTTGTTTCTTTATTTACTGCTGTTTTTTATTTAATTAGTACAAGTAAACTTATTACATCTTAAGATTATTAAATTAACATTTTACGAACGTTGTGAACCAACATAGATCTTACATTCTATTTATTTCATTCATTTTATTTATTTTGTTCCAGACAATTCCTCTTGCAATTTCTGGCAAAGATGTGGTTGCTATGGCACGCACAGGCTCAGGTAAAACAGCCTGTTTTGTACTTCCAATATTGGAAAAACTGCTTGCCCCTAACAGTAAACCTCTGCCTGGAAAAAACTTCAGAGCACTTATATTATCACCAACTAGAGAACTGGCTCTACAGGTAAGTTATTTTATAATATATATACACTACTATCATGTTTAAGTATTCAAAGGAGTGTACTTCCTATGGCATTCTTAATACTATAATAAAATTATATTGTAAACATATATTATATTATGTCATCCATAATAAACAAATGAGGGGTATACAATCAAAGGCAGCTAAATCCATCCACACTTTTTTTACACAAATACCAAAAAATATTTTTTTAATTTTTACTTGATAACTCTGTAGACATAATTTATTAGGCAGGAGGCGCTTGCAGTGATTTTACAGGTTTTTCAACACAATCATAATTAGCAGAAAAAGTAACCGTTTAATTTAAATAATTGTGATAGACATAGCTGTTTTTGATACCAAGTCATGGATTTAGCTGTCTCTGATTCTGACTAGTATGGATGTAGCTGATTTTGATTCCAACAAGAACTTGTTGAACTATTGTTAGTGAAGTGTATCGTGATGATTCTGGGTATCGAGTTATTAGAGCAGATATGCATCAGAATTTCGAAAATACAAAGCAAAATTAATATTTTAGATTATAGTACGTTCGTTAGTTAATAAGGGAACCATAAAATTTAAAGTTTGAAACATATGACAAATTACGATTATGAATGTGCCAAAGTGATAGACATATGTTTTTGATATTATTATTTATTAAGAAAGTAGAAAAATTTTCATCGTGCGTAGTTGAGATACTAAAATCAAATCTAAATCCTTAGCATATTATCTTTATTTTCTTGTACTATTTCACAAACGAAATGTGTACCTGCAATGCAACGGTTTTATCGAAACTGATTGATAGTGAGTACATCACTACTCTATACCTACCTATCAATTTTTGCCTTGTTTACTTTCCAATTTGCCGGCTGTCTCTTACGTTTTTGAACACTGTCTTGTGCTGCTTCTGTTAGTGGCACTTCCATGGCACTAAATATGATCTTTTTTATTGAAAATTGACCAAAAATGTTTAAAATTTTAATGAAAACTGCAGACACGGATGCACGCGTTTGTATGACAGATGCCATATTAAAAATTGGACAAAGCTGCATTTGTTTCTGACTATACTGGATAAAGCTGACTTTGATTCTAACAAGTGAATTTGAAGTGGTTTTTCTTTAAAAAATAGCTGCGTTTGATACCAAACGGTTTACCTAACATGTACAAATTTGGATAAGGAATAAAATAGCATTCATAGTTCTATACCTACCAGGCTATGGATTTAGCTGGCTTTGATTCTATACCCCTCAAATAACAAATGAAAAACTTAACATTTTCTAGAAAATAAAGTATTTGTTTTTGTAAAATTTTAGTTTTGTACATATTTTGAATGACCTAGATCAGTTGAAATAGGTATATGTATGCACATGAATAAAGGAACCCACGACCTCACCACTTTACCTCACCGTTCAATTAGAAACAATAAGTACTATTATTATTAAAACATAGAGCTTTCTTTCCCATTTTTAAACATATTTTTTTATTTACTTCTTGTATATACTTAGTATGGTCCTTAGTTTATTAAATCTTTATTCATTTCAGACTCTCAGATTTGTAAGAGAACTTGGTAAATTTACTGGATTATCATCAGCAGCTATTCTTGGTGGAGAATCAATTGAGCAACAGTTTAGTGTGATGTCGGGCAAAGCACCAGATATAGTGGTGGCAACACCTGGACGATTTCTTCACATCTGTATTGAAATGAGCTTAAAATTAGACAACATCAGTAAGTTTAATTAGTTCATTACTTTTTCCAAATATACATATGAAAAGAACATAATCAACCATCATCTGATTAAATAGTCAGTGTATCTGTGATCAAACATTTGGGTTTCCAAATCTACATCAATCTCACAATTAATTATATTAACTTGAGTACAGTGAAATTTACTTTGTTTTTTTTTTGGAGTTTACTCCTTAAGAATCGATTTTCATATATGGCAGCAAACGCTACTAAATTTTAGTCTTCATATATTTTAATGCCGGATTAAAAAAATATGAAGAGTAAAATTTAGTCGATCAAATGACCTCGTTACGTTTTTTGTACGTCGAATCGTTCTTAAGAAGTAAAATCTAGTCGTGTTTTAGAGCTGACACACACACTTTTATTTGCAGCTCCATTTCTCGTGGGTTCAAAATTTTCGTGTTTCTTTTTTTAGGTATTACTTTTTTTTGGTATGTATGTATCTATGTATGTAACGCAATTTTCAAACGTAATTTTATTTGCTTTATCTTTACAGAGGTTGTTGTGTTTGACGAAGCTGACCGTTTATTTGAACTCGGATTTGGAGAGCAGCTTCAAGAAATCGTAGCCAGGTTACCATCGAGTCGTCAAACGCTCCTCTTCTCTGCCACGATGCCTAAAATGCTTGTAGAATTCGCGCGTGCTGGTCTCTCAGACCCCATGCTAGTTAGATTAGATGTTGATTGGAAGTTACCTTCAACTTTGTGGATTGGTTGGATTGCTGTGAGAGCAGAATTAAAGACAGCAGCTTTGTTGCTGTTATTAGATAAAGTGCTGACATCGACAACACCTCAAGCTGTTGTGTTCGCTGCCACCAAACATCATGTGGAGTATTTGCATTTGGTATGTTAATATAGATACGTCAGTTAAAATATTATAAATCACTTCAGTATGTGTTATTTTTGATAACACATAATGAAGGTCCAATACTTCAATTTAGTTTTTGAAATAAATATAACTATCTGCCATGATTAACTAGAAAAAGACACACCTATATGTAGATAACCGTGGCAAGCACTGTGTATGATATAAAAATAAATAAAACCTTAACTAACAAATTAAAACATGACTTATTATTTTTGAATAGCTACAATTACAACATTTCATATTTTTTAATTGACTAATGGATAAAAATAGGACTTATCGTTTTTTTTTAAAGTGAGGTGCCAAAAACGCTAACTTTTTAAAGCATAATGTAGTTTAATATTCCAGATTCTACAAAAAGCAGGCATTTCATCAACTTACGCATACTCGGGACTTGATCCTTCCGCCCGTAAGATAGCTCTAGGTCGTTTCACAAACAAGAAATGTTCAGTTCTCATTGTAACTGATGTGGCAGCGAGAGGGTTAGATTTACCGGCTTTGGATACAGTCATTAACTACAACTTTCCTGCAAAACCAAAACTCTTTGTACATAGAGTCGGTAAGTTTCTCTTAAAATCATTACTTATTACGATTAATTATAGATCTTGGAATAATAACTGACTGTTCGTCTAGTGGCGTCATGATTGCTAAGCCAAAGGTCGTGGGTTCGATTCCCGCCCAGGACAAATGATTGTGTGAGATATATTTATCTGGCTACCATAGTACAGGGTATGTCTAGTTACGTTTCAGTTGGCCATGTGTGAGATGTGTAAATATTAGTACTTAAACACCCCTCACTGGCAACTGGCTTTGGTAGTTCATTCTGACATGCCATGCTTATACACGATCAGCTGACAGCAAAATATTTATTACATTTGAATATTAAAAACGATATAAAATTTTAAGAAGTTATACAATAACTATTCATAGACCTAGAGTTAAATTATATAGACTGGTTAAAGTGTATCATTGACCGAGTGGTACTTATAGGCTTGCCATTGTTAACCATTGCCTTACCTTAGATGAAGTGCTTACTATTCTGAGTTACTACTTAAAGATCCAGGTGGATCTGTTATCAGATCACCTCTTAGAAGCTCAAATTAAAGTATTAAACACAGAAACTTTCATTTCTATATGACTATATTAGTGGTACAAGTGTGTTAGTTCGTTAAAAAACATTGTCATTTTTTTGTTCTTGATAAGCTAACGGGTTAATTGCTTTATAATTTTTTTCTTATTCTTAGGCCGAAGTGCCCGAGCTGGACGTGCCGGCCGTGCCTTTTCTCTCGTAGCTGCTGAAGACATTGCACATCTACTCGACTTGCACCTGTTCCTTGGAGCTGAGCTTTTACTACCGTCACAGGTGTCCGAATATGGCAACACATGCCCAAGTGGGGTGTGGGGAGGCGTGCCCACGTCACTACTCGAGCTCAGGCATCAAGATGTCAGGTCGTGGGAGAAAGATTGTTCAGAGATAGTAAGTAGTTCTTGGTGTAATTTATTTACATGCTTCAAATTTTTAACTTTCTAATATTAAATAATATATTTTTAAAGTAATATAAAATTTGTCTAAAAGCATTAATGACAGAAATATAATTTATACCCTTAGTCACTAGGCTCTCGTTACCTTTTGTAAGTAATAAATACTTTTAATAGATTTTGTAGTAAAAGTAAATTAAGCAATATCACGTAAAAACACTGCAAGCATACCATTATACCTTCGAGCCTATACCCTATCTAATAAGATGCTTAATACAGTGTCATTCGCGATATCAATGTTCCAGAAGATGTTAAAGCAGTGCTTTAAGACAGTGTAATGCTTATATCGGATTACGTATCTAAAAAGTATTTGTATGCAAGGAAGAAGCAGTCCGCACGTGCTCCCGCGGCTGGCAGCAGTACATGAAGTGGCGCGAGCCCGCCTCGGCCGAGGCCAACAAGCGCGCCAAGGGCACCGACCTGCCCCCCCTCCCGCACCCCTTCCTCGTCGACGAACACGAGAGCACCACAGACAAAATGATAGCACAAATCAAGAACTATACGCCGAAAGGAGTAAGTATATATTATCGATATGACTGATGACATGCTCCCCTAAGGAAATTAAGAATTATAATATGACTGAATAATTCTGTAGAAGTCGGCATTGGATTAGCTTTTTTATTGTAAAAAAGAATACTAAAAGTTAATGTTTGAAGATAAAGATATCATAATTATAAATTTGACGTCATAATGCGTTATGTCCTACTAGTGTATAAAACAGACAGTTTTGAATGTTAATAAAGAGAAAATTATTTAACTTGGCTGTCTAGTACCGTATTATTTATAAAGTCTACTATGTTCTAATGAAACTGTGTATCATTTCAGACAATTTTAGAATTATCAGCCAAAAACGATTCACCTATGTATTTGGCCATGAAGCGAAAGAAAGAAGTTCATGGCAAAATGGTCCAAAAAGTTCGTGATATCAAAAAACTGAAGGTAGGACATTGATAACTGTGTTATTTATTATTTAAATTGTTTTATTTATGTATCTATTTTTCTTGGTTTAGATATTTCAGTGGACGATCATAGCTCTGGACTATAGTAAGAATATTTTAAAACATTTTCAGGCTGAAGGAGTTCTGGAAGACACTAGTAACATAAAACCTACTAAAGGAGGAGAAAACCAACCTGCAAAGAAAAAGAAGAAAGAGGTAGTGCGCGACGAAAACTACATATCTCATTTTGCAAGTGATCAACACACAGAAATGGGGTAGGTTAACTTTTATTCTTTACTATTCCTTATCTCTCTATGACAATGTGATCATTAAAATCATACTAAAATTAGCATTGTTATGACTGGTATTCATATTTTAGAGCTAAGCGACTGTAACCGATACATCCAGTTCAAAAAGTTAAAGGTCTTCGTGGGACCTAAAATTGCTCCCAAAATGCTTCCATTACGTCTGTCGAAGATCAGCTTAGTAAGAATTTATTTTGCGATCAGTGACCGAGTTTTGTCTTTAGTGATTCTGGCTCCTTAAGCAGAGGTCATGGATTCGATTCCGATTCTATTGGACCGATCATAATGAAATTTAATATCGTCAGTGTCGGAGAAAAAGCTGTTACATACCTTTCATTCAGAATGAAGTTGATCAGCATTAACATAATGCTTGCCTCGGTACAGCATGGCGGTGAACTTCAACGCGGGTGCGGCGAGCGCGACGCTGGAGCTGGCGGCCGACAGCGGGGACGCCGCCAGGGCTCAGCGCTCCGCCCTGCGCTGGGACCGGAAGAGGAAGAAGATGGTGCACGTCGACCCGGTACGGTTATACTCACTTCTTAGTTTCATCACAGGCAGGCAGAAATGATAGTGTCACTTACCGCTATTCATGTACATCCGTGCAGCTTGAGGCTCTTCCACGTTCAATAAACCTTTCACACATATTTCACACACTTATTCGGTGAATTAGAGCGAGATACACGACTGACCTTGCAGCGGAGCATCACATCGGCGACCAAGTGTAACCCCGTCCCGTCCTTCTTCATTGGCGCAGAGTACTATACCGAACGAATAGTCTAATTATATATTTACGATTTAACCATTTTTAAAGCACGTATCTACGAGCACCTAAGTACCCGTACTGCGTACATGTACTCATAGCAATCCCCGTGTATAGGCCTTTTATTGAGTCCCTTTTACCCTTGTATTTTTTATCTTTTTTTTTTTAAAGACAACTCCCGCATTAGGAATAAATCCTGTGTCGCGGGGGACTTTACAAACATACATGAAACGGACACAAAGAACACCCAAACTCAGAACAACAATTTGTGGATCACACAAAGTGTCGTCCCATGTGGGGTTTGAACCCACAACACTCGGCGTAGTAGGAAGCGGCGTGGCGACCGCTTAAACCACTACGCCATCCGTGCAGTCAAATGTTATAATAAAGTTAAATGGTTAATGGGGTAATACGAATAGTTATAATAAACTAATATTCTATTTAGGACGGTGGACGCAAAATGATCCGGACGGAAAGCGGTGGTCGTGTCCCGGCCTCGTTCCGTAGCGGACGATACGACGAATGGAGAAAACGAAACGTGGCGGATGCTGGCTCTGATGATGAAGACACTACACATTATACCAATACAAAGAAACCAGGTATAATAATAAAATATATTTTTTTCAAATAAATTATTGGCTTGGTCCACTCTAAATTACTACGTCCACTAAACGACTACAGCAAATAAATCTACGAATCTTTCCTACAGATGATCTTTGTCTAATATTGTTACTCTTATGATTGACTTTATATTTTTTTTATATACATTTAATATCATTAAAACAGTGAAAATTGAGATCAAGTGATTGTACTAGTTTAAAATGTTTGAACATTTAAGTATCTCCTTACTTTTTTAAATTCTGAAACAGGTTTGTAACGTGTTTATAAAGATGAGGGATAATTATGTACATAATAAACTTTTAAGGGTAATGAATGATCTCGAAGAACATATTTCTCCGACAACACTCAAACATCCTCGTAAACTTAATTAGACTGATGTATGTAATAACATTATTTGTTGAGAAAATGACTAATAAGCCAATGTATCCCACAGTATCTGAGTTCCGTCCCCACTGGGTGAAGCACAATGAGCGCGTTGCCAAGAAGTCAACGGAAGCAAAATCTAAAGAGTTCAAAGATAAACAACAGATCGTGAAAGAGCGACTGCGGAAAGACAAGATCAAGCAGAAGCTCAAATTCAAGACGAACAAAAAGAAAAAGAAGAAATAACTTTTATATAATAAATAAATTATGTACAAGGGCTTTATTATTTGATAAATGTTTTAGATTCAACCCTCTGTAATATGGGGTTTTACTTAATCGTCAACCTATATAAAACAATTTTTTTTAAAGTTAATTCTGAAAAAACCTATAATAATATCATGAAAATTATGTAATCAATTTATCTCTGGTTTCTGCCTGGCCTTACAAGTGAGGTTCGTCGTGGAAGAACCATTTATCTGAACAAAACCATTATAAAATCTGCTTAGTAAACACTTACTTAAGTCCAGCTTCGATTTGTGCTTCTTATGCTGAACTATACGAACGAGGATTATGCTAATATTCTGATTTGTTACGGATATTGCGTATCCGCACGGGATGAATACATAGCACGCTATCCTGGCCGTCGAGTGCCGAATCTGTTTTGTGTTGGATGGAGCCTATCGACAAATTAAAGTGACGGGCTCTGTTTCAAGGTGACCAGATGGACACCTGGGTAGATCACGTTTCACTGATGAAGAAGACAACGAGATAGTTTAACGATTTAGATTGGATAAAACAACTTTAACCAATATTTTTGCCCATTTTTCCCGTGCGGAAATCTGTCGGTGGCATGTCGGACTCGAACCGACTAAAACCGCACGCCGTCTCGGGTACTAATAGCCGGGGAACCAGGTATACCCTAGAAAGGAAGTCCCTGGTGAATATTGTTGCCCTAGAACTTAAGACTCTAACAGTGGAAAGTGTGCTGTGAATATTGCGGGCTTATAGCCATATCACTATACGCCGCTGGAACCAGTTGTGAAAAGTTGTTTAAAAGGTTGGACTTCTTCAGATTTATGCTTAATGCATATTTAGAAGACCCGTCATTGTAGATGAGTATTGTCAAGCCACTGGATTGGATTTTTTTCTCCTTGTGTTCTCAAGGTGAAAAAAAGGTACGAAAACTTTTTGGGTACAAAATTTAACTTACGTACTTGATGATTTACCACTTAATCTCATTCGTGGCATGTGGTTTCAGCACGATGGTTGCCCTGCGCATTACAGGAGAAGTGTAAAAGAATGGCTGGATTCTAATTATCGTAATAAGTGGAAGTGAAGAGGTGGTAGGGTGGCTCGTGTGGATATGCATTGGGAGTATCCGTAACAAATTAGAATATCAGCATATTAGTCGTTTGCATAGGTCAGCATCTCCAACAGTATCAGAAGCACAAATCAAATTCCGGTAAGCAATAGTTAGTCACGAATAGAAAACAAGAGTCCAAAAATACAAGCTAAGATTTTAACTAAGTACTACCGGGCTGTATGCTAATTCTTAATACTCCTGGTTTGTAAACCAATCTGCAGTGTAACTGCCGTAGATATTTTTTTACAATATTCGCCAAAGAAAATTTTTTTTTTACTAATTTATTTATTTTCGCCATTATTAACCATCTACGAGTACTTCGGCCAAGTTTGTTAATTCAACTACAACTTTAGTAATGGAAATTTTAAAACAATGTATCAACTACATCAAAACAGTAAAAAAAAAGCATAAAATAAAGGAAGAAATATTAGGCGAAATTTCGGCATTTTTTTAGAAGTCCAATATCTTGAAAATGGTTAGGTTTGGGATATAGTATTTCATAGTGATATATATCAGAAATGATGGCAACTACAACCTCTTAAAGTATGACTTAACCAGTAACCCTGATTATATAGGTCTGTTGTACTTTAATGTAATAGTAGCCATCGTGACATAATTTAACTTCAACTATTTTCGAGAACTAAATAGAACCTACTAAAAATCATCTAATCACTTAACACTATTAGCTTAACCTAAAAAACAGTACTTTAACCTTACCAACAATTGGTTGAGGTGCGGCAGTGTTAAATTGAGGTGAAAATAAAAGCCAAAGAAAAAATCATGATTATGTATATTTAAAAAATTAAGATAAACGATAGATGTTAGAATACCTACTTACAATTACCTGTACACGATGATAAATAACGAATAATTTCGAGAAGAAATGTATCTTAGTTCGGACATTTGTAATATATTCTTAACAGAATAATTTAATATTTACCGTAAGCGAAAACATTTATTTACAGATATAAATTCCAACTTCAAACAAATACGAGACTATATGATTAAAATATTTAAAGGTACATCCGTTACACACTATCTAATAGTCCAATGACATTATATAGTTCACCCACACAATATAATATAATAAATATTCGGAATTAAGGCTAAACTTGAAGCTAAAAGGCAATTTATACAAAACTGAGTAACATGGTTGCAGGTCAGTATGTGTATCGTAACATACGTCATATATCACAATGGATATTTATTTTATTGACAATTGTCGTCAGGTGTTTCAGTTTATACGTGCCATCATACTCTGTATCAGTGTACAAAATAATGATATTATATGTAATACGAATAATTAATGACAACACCAAATATTATCGTCACAACATACTTTAAACAATCTTAAAGAGCGGACAGCGGAGTTTCAATATAATTTAAATCCAAATGATCAGAATCGACACAAATGAATGCAAATACTCGCCACTGGTAATAAAAATATTGTAGTATACAAGAAAAAACGAATATCAAATATATTGATGTCACAAAATGTATTTATTATATACATTGACTTTTTGATTAATCAGCCGTCCCCGCCATATCGATTGATAACGTTCATAAAATTGACTACTATTTATTTAGATTTCTTAAACAAGAATAGGGAATATGCACGTGACACCAAAATGGACAAAATATTTTTATTTGTAATTGTTATTGCTAAAAAAAGATACCCATACAATTATTTTTGAAATTTATTATATTTTAATAGTGAAATTTAATCATCAAAAATTGGCTTTTTTAAGATTCCCTCGCAAATTTCTAAAACGCAACGCTATTGGTTGAATAAAACGTGACGTCAACCTACACTGTCAAGAGTGTCAACAAGTTGTGTGTATTTGTAATATTTGGTTTCTGGTGATTATTTGTTTCATTTTAAGTTAATAACTAATACGTTTTAAGTGTAAAATTATTAAATGCCTGTGTAGAAAGACTCAACACAATGACTGAAACCGGTTTTGTCAAAGCACAATCAGATAATCTTCCTAAAATAGACGTGTTTATGATGAGCACCTATTTCGCATCTAATTCAGATTTTACGTCTGCTGAACTCAGAGGAGTAAAAGCTGCGAGGTAAATAAGTTATATAAATTTTATTAAATGATCGTTTTCATGGTTTTGTTAATACTCGTATAACATAAATATAACCTAAAATATGCAGCTAAATTTATAATTTTGGTGACAGATCTGAACGAGAATCATATGGGGATTCAGCCATTGGATATGTGCAAGTAAAACGAGAGAAAGATGTATGCATCGTAAGGGGTAGAATAACACCAGAACATAATGTCCATCAAAAATGTTACAATGTAACAGCTACTTGCAATGAGACTGAGGGACATATTCTGTCTGTGCAATGTGAAGATTGTGCAGCACATTTAGGTAAGTAATTGCTATAAAACAGTGATTTAAATCTGATTAAGTAATAAAAACAATCTGGCCCTGTTTTATGTGTTTATGTAACCATTTGTCATCATACCTGTTTTATGTGTTTATGTAACCATTTGTCATCATACGATAGTATGTACCATGATGCAGTTAATTTGATCATTTAGAATAACCAAGATTATTTTGTTTTAGGTGGCTGTAAACATGCCATTGCTTTCTTAGCATGGCTTCACAGACGAAGTGAAGATCCACCGTCCACAAGTGTGGAATGCTATTGGAAGAAAGCTAAGTTATCTACTGTTGGCACAAGCTTAAAGTATATAAAAGCTAAAGAGATTACTTCATCTCAGAAGAGAGATATTGAGCCAAAAAGGCAGCAAAGTGCAAGTTTTCTGTCTATATTGAAAAATCACAGTCTTGGTGTGAATGACATGGACAATCAACTTATGAAATATTTCAAAGAACCAAGCCCTTTAGAAAAATTGTCCATCCATTATTTGAGGAATAGGATGCCAAGCAAGCCATCAAATGCTCAAGAATTCATAGAATTTTGCGAAAAGAACATGGATATGACCTCATGCGAGAAAGCTGCACTTGCAACTATCAATCAAAGTGACTGTCCTCTGTGGTATGAACTTCGATATGCTCGGATAACTGCTTCAAAAGCTCATGAAGCAGCCCAATGTAAAACAATACAAGGTGCTTTAACTGAATCCATAATGGGAGCAATAAAATTAAAAGACACAGAAGCAATGAAAAGAGGTCGACTTCTGGAAAATCAAGTTTTAAAAAGGGTTGAATTACTAAAGCAAATAAAAATTAAAAAGTGTGGCTTAAAATTACACTCTAAATACCCTATTATGGGAGCTTCCCCTGATGGAGTAACTGAAGAATATGTCATAGAAGTGAAATGCCCTTTAACAGACAAAGCAATGAGTCAATATATTAAAGACAACCAAGTATCATTAAAATATAAAGCGCAAGTGCAGCTTCAAATGCATTTTTATAATAAAAGTAAAGCACTATTCTGTGTTGCAGCAAGTGATTTTGAGACTACTACAAATATTAATATAATAGAAGTGAAATATGAGAAGGAATTCTGTGAAGAAATATTAAACAAATGCACACTATTTTGGTCTAATGCTATTTTTCCATTGTTGTACAAATAAAACACATTTCTATATAATAAATTACTTTTTTATTAACACATCCTGTAAATTAATTAATCCACAAGCTATTATTATTACTTCATCCACTACCTGAATCAAGTGATGGTCAATGCATGCATGAGGCAATAACATATTAAACTCTCTTAGTCTGCCTATAACACGTTCTACATTAATTCTTAAAGCTGCTATTTGCTTTGACTTCTTAACATCTTCTTTAGTACTCGGAGTGGACTGGGAAACTGAGGGTGGCCTGACCAAGCTACAGTTTTTGATTGCCAGCAGGCGTGTCAAATCTTTAAAACCCCGGTCTGCCATTACTGCTTTTTGAGGGGGTAAATGATCAAGGAAGCCACAATTTTCTACAATCATTAGGTCTGTTGCCCTGCCGCTATACCCATCAGATATGTAATTAACAAGACCATCTGGAGTACATGAAATTAAATATTTTAAAGTATTACACTTTTTATACTGTGACCAAGTTAGTGACTGATGCACAGCATTTGTTGGCTTTTCTATTTGAATCTCCAGACAGTCTATAATAGATACAACATTATCATACCTGGCCCTAAATGACATAGGTAATTTTTCATATATTTGGGATGGGGTTGGCCAAATTATCAACTCTTTCATTTTCTCTGAAATGGGTACTATACTTTTTGAAAATATTCTGCTGATTGTGCTCTGTGAATACCCAAAGTTAACTGCTAATAAACTAAAAGATTCATTTAATTTTATTTTCCTTAATGTAATTAAAATATCTATAGTGGCAAGCGGAATATTATCACTTAATAGTTTTATTAAGTAATAAGTTTTTTTTGGTAAACCTAAGAACATTTTTGGTTCCTTTTCTATGGCAATCAATGTGCCACTACGCATTAGGTTCTTAAATTGTATGTCACTGTCTAATTCATCTTCAATTAGCCAACTTGAATCAGATGAACTACGCTCTGGTTCATAATCAGTTGATATTACTGAGTACTGTGAATTAACACTTGTAAGAGAAGCACTGTCAGCGGGGTTGTCTGTAAATAATTTTCTTTTTATAGAAGACTGTGCAGATTTTAAGGGTGATGTTGATGTATTCCTAGATGATATAGAAAACGGAGATAATGCTATGTTATTTTTCTTTACTGATAAATTCACATTGACACCTTTGCTTCTATAAGGAACTTTACAATTAACTTGCACAGCTTTGTCAAACTGCAACATATCTGTACTATGTGCCTTTGATAAGATATTAGAAACAGCTTCCCCATCTGTTTTATTGTCAGAAATTTTTAGTTCTACATTTGGTATATGGTATGGTACTGAAGCTGTACTGGGACCTGCTGCCAATAGATCGGCTTCAGATATTGATGCTGTACTGGGACCTGCTGCTAGTAGATCGGCTTCAGATATTGATGCTGTACTGGGACCTGCTGCTAATAGATCAGCTTCAGATATTGATGCTGTACTGGGACCTGCTTTTCGTAGATAAGCTTCAGTTAGGGCAGCTTCAGCTAGAGCCTCTTGAACCAGTGCTTGTCGCTTCCTTTTTATAGCACCCTTTCTCTCTGGTGGTGGCCACAAGTTATCTTTTTTCTGACACTGGAATATGTATGGTACTACTCCTTTTTTTAATTTGAGTGTAACTTTTTGTCCATGTTCTAAAGCCATTAATTTATATTGCATATAATTTACTGTGTCCTTTTCAATCTGAAACCCAGATATAAATAGAAAGATGAATAAAAGTAGTTTCGAACTTTCCTCTTACTCTAATCTCTTAAATGTTTTTATTCATATGGATACCTTTGTATTATATATTGAGAATATCTTTAAACTAGGTTATGTTTTTTTGTAAACAAGTGCAGTTAACTAAGTTTAAAAGATTCTAATATGTATTTTATTACTTTCTTAATATCCTTACTTACGTTAAAATGATCTTCACAACAGTATAAACAGCTCAACCACGATACATTGTCTTTTTTCATCGCTTTACACCAGTTTCTTCTTATACCTTGATCTTTCGGCATAAGGAAATATACTTTATCAGGTGCAGTTTTGATATTGTTTGGGCACAAAGGAACGGCACAATATTTATAATAAGTTTTTATTGGCTTTTCCATGGTAATAAGTTAATTTTTATCACTCACTTTTTTAACTTTCAGAAACTTTGTGAACTTCACTCCGTTGTTGACATCGAATTCGTCTGACAGTGTAATCTGACGTCACAAAAAAAGCGCGCCAGAATGGACGTGTTCAAATTGCCCCAAAATGATAGTGATTTTAATAAAATTTTTTTTGCTTAACGGTTTATATTTCGGATGTGTTATATTTATTTTTGGTAATGTAATAACTAGTAGAATGGTTTAAAAAAATAAAAAAAATACATGCATATTCCCTATTGAGGAGAATAATACACGGGGAAAGATCGAAAAATAAGAAATTCGTTCTGCGATATATGCATAAAAATTTGGCAACATTCTCACTCCTCTTTAAAAGCCTATAGATGTTATAAGGTCAATGACACGAGTTAAAATCTAATCAACATTTACTTCTTCATTTTACAAGTACTTACTTTTTCATTTTATATTGGTTCCATTACCTATCTAGCGGCAACACTGCCCACACAACACAATAACAATAATCCCATATTCATGCATACATTTATATAATTCAAAAACGTTTATACTTTTAAACAGGCTGTTTTATTCATAGATTTATTATTTCAAGCTGAGAAATGGGACACTTAGTGGTATTTGTTCACTTTCGTTTCCTCGAGTTAGACTAAGTTATTTTTATTATTCTTACGTTTAATAATTCAATCAGAAATTATAATAAATCTATGATTTAAGGTCGTGTAATCCCTTTAAGGTCAATTATCAATCGCTTATCAAAGACCTACGATGTTAACAAACCTTCCACAGGAGTAAATATAGATCATGCTCATAAGGAATTACGCGACTTTATTCACCTGTATAATCCACCTAATTTATTTTGGTGTCTCAGTGTCTATCTAGCGTTGGACATACATTAACAATACGAATTTTAACATAATTCTAAAGTATTTAACATCTAAACAATGCCATTTTTAAATATCCCTTTGGCATTCACGTCCACATTCATGTCAATAACAGTAATTCATCATTCGTTTCATCAATTGTTTGCAACGTACATACGTAGGATAAAACTTAAATTTAATCGGCTAAGAAACCTAAATCTAGACCACTCTTCATGCCTGAACAATCAGTCTTCTCATTGCGAAAATTATCATAATTTCATTTAATTATTTACATACTTTATTTTTGTTTTTTTTTATCATTCTATTCGCACAGTAACTTTTATACATGAAAATATTATATTTGTCAATCTGTTATTTTTACAAAGCACTACCGGGTTCTACAAGTGGACGGGTCGAGTCTACTGGTACTTTGGGATTCAAAAGGCATAAAAGCTTTTTATAACCCTGACGCGTCTGGTCATCTTTCGTAGAAGGTTATGGTAATGTCCTTTGCGTCCAAACGTACCAATATTTAATGCAAGATGGAAGCGTTAACGGTTGAGCAAATAAGACTAAAGTTCCAAGGTACAGCACGTGTCAGCGGATTATGGCACTAAAATTTACAAAATCTACGTGTAGCGTAGGACGCTAGGTCTCGAGTCAATACTACGATCGATGCGAGTGAATCTCAACGTCAACAGGTGCAAACATCTACGTCTCTCGTCAAAGAAAAGAGTTTCGGCGAGAGCGCGAAAAAACACATACAATTGTAATTTGCAGATTAAAGTCTACTTCGAAAGCGGTGACAAATCAGACGGAACCCTTTAAAGATTATTATCATGTCATAGAATATCACGAGAGCTAGTGCTACGTGCGCTCTAGAGTATCCCGTTAGTGTAGTACTGGGAGTTGTCGTAGAGCCGGGTGGAGAGCACGAGACGCTCGACCAGCGCCTGCAGTAGAGGTTCGGTGCGGCCCGCGGGGTGCTATGTGCGCACTAGAGAATCCCGTTGGTGTAGTACTGGTAGTTGTCATAGAGCCGGGTGGAGAGCGAATGTAGCGCGTCCCGCACGAGCCGCTCGACCAGCGCCTGCAGCTGAGGCTCGGTGCGGCCCAAGTGAAAGCGAGCGCGGAACGACGAGACGGCGCCCGAGCTACGCAAGCACGACAGCTGACCACCTGAAACCAAGAGTTATTCACTAAGCACTGTATCCACATTTATACCTTCGACAGAAGCCAAACCGTTGAACTACGTCATCATCAACAACCTTTCATAGAAAGGAGGTTTTAGCCTACTCTACCACGCTGGCCAGACAAGTTGGTATAGGGTTTGTTTCAAGTTTCCTTCTTTTTGCAGTGCTGTTGTCCTGCGTAATTTGCTCTTACGACACCCACGGGATGAATAGGGTTAATGTGACAAGTTTTGCGCCACTCTGTATATATTATAAGACTATATCGCCATGCTACATAATGTGGGACAACCTTTTTTTTTGGTGACGAGATGGAAAATCCCTCCGGATCGCCGTGTTTCCGCCGTGATCCGTGTTTTCACTAAAAACCACCCCGACGACAAGCCTTAGGCGCCCCACTCTGATAAAGACCCGGGCCATGTGATTTCAGGTCCTCCCCAGATCGACGCCGCAACTAGGTCCTATCCTAGGACCTGCCTATTAGCCTATCATTAAATGTTGAGGCCCGATCACATTTTTGATGCGTTCAGTATTTAGCCTCAAAATCAATTTCTTCATTGTTTGTTACAGGTACGAATATAGTATTGTTGATGTTACAGTTCAAAATAAGTACAATCCTTAAATGGCAAATTAAACTTACAATAAAATCATGCAATCGATTACTTCAAATTTAGCTAGAACTATAAAACAGTCCACTTGCTCTATTGATTTTAGAAAGGCGAAAGAATCGACCTCTAATTCCATACTTTCAAACTTCAATGTGTGTGTGTTATGATCTAAGGCTTTTGTCACATTTTAGTCTCAGTGCTAGTTAAGTACTTTCTGACATAATTTAGGTTAAAATCTGACACATTGGCCTCGAAAATACTTGTTTATCTTTTGGAGCCTAGAGGCAGGTCCAACAAGTTTTTTCTATATCTGATATTTAAAGCATTTACATCACTTCTTTTCAAGATGGTGGATGGATTTGGATAGATTTTCAAGATGATATCTTTGTTATTATGAACATATATTACATTTTCATATGCATATTTACTTGCTACTGTCATTATCTTATTTCTTTAAATTTCTGCCTCAATGAACAACGATTGCATAAATAATAAATTGCTCGAATTGCTCTCTTTTGCAGTACCAAAAATAGTTTGAATGTCGGCAGCATTCCCCCATAGAAGAATACCGTATGACATAATGCTATGAAAATAACTGAAGTAAACAAGTCGTGATGTGTCAACATCAGTCAACTCTCGAATTTTTCTTACTGCGTAGGCTGCTGAGCTGAGTCTACTCGATAATTTATCAATATGTGGGCCCCACTGTAGCTTAGAATCTAGTGTTATAAATAAAAATGTCGTAGTCTCCACAAGTTCCAACTCGATATCCTTAGTCATCACAGTAGTTTTCACTGGCTTGACGTTTGGCATAGTGAAACGTATACACTTAGTTTTTTGTTCATTTAAAAGCAAACTGTTTACGTCTGTGAAATTAGTAAGTGACCGTTTCAGTCTATAAAAATAGTGATGTATCATGTGCGAACAACATAATCACGAGATTGTCCTTGACAAGGTGAGGTAAGTCGTTAATTTACACTAAAAACAAAAGAGGCCCGAGCGTAGAACCTTGTGGAACGCCCATTTCTACCACAGAGACCGCTCATAACCGCTATAACTTCATACCCTTTAATGTTTTCTTTTAGAATATAGCTTTATGGCTGACATTTTAACTTTAATTATACTTAAAATTTAATTAGAAAACAAAAATAATTTAAGTATTTACATTCTGTTGTTCTTTACGGATAGACAAAATAAAACATTCAGATTTGTAATGATTATCAATTAAACCTCAACAAAAAGCATTCATTTATTATCAGAATGCAAAGTCTCTACAATGACAGGCAGTGAAACTTATTGGGAAGTGGTAATAAACGATCACAAACTTTTTCACTTTGATAGCCACTACTAATTATTCACTATTGGATTAAACTAGTAGTGTGTGGTTCTGAGTTTCTTTCTTTCCTATAGGACTTTTTTACAATAATCTAAGTAGTAAGTAATGAGATATAGAACATTTGAAACCCTTTTCTTCGACCTTCTTTTCGCTATATTGTCAACGCAGGTCATACCACTCGGCCGTATTGGTTAATTTGTGGGTAGCTTTTGCTCCTAATATACAAGTGAAAGCTATTGGCGTAATAAATAGGAAGTTTCTTGTTTTAATGACTTTAATTAAATATGAAATACTCACCCATACGCATAAGTTCCACGACGTGTATAATTTGATCGCAATGCTTACGTGCGGCGATCAAACCGCGCAGTATCAGAATCTTAAAATATTGGAACATGTCTGAATTTTCGCCGTCCATTACTTCGACGAACTCCGGTGTTAGCTGTGAAGAAAAATAAATTGTAATACAATACTATTAATGCTGGTAACCCAGATAGATTTATACAGCTCTACTTATGCCTTGATGATTGGTTTAAAAGCAAATCAAATATTAGCAATACTTACAATAACGCTCACAGTAACTAAAAACCATATTTTCTAATAAAAAAAAGGCATCAAGATGAGCACTAATCTTTTCATACTTTGTATGAAGATGCTATTAATAATAATAAATAGACAACCATAAAGAATGTGTCTGGATTACAACTTAAAAATTTGTGTGTATGTCTAATCGCGGATATTTGTAAATGGCCATCAGATGTTTATATATTGTCTTGTTTTTAAAATGCTAGCTGTAATTATCCCAAACAGAGAAAAAAATAAAGTGTTTGACAATACAGATTACTCGTCCGTTTCTTCTTACTATGTCAATTGATAAATTGGCTTATAATATAATTATGGGAGCTATATGATATTAAGAGCTTGTTATACCGAGTGTAGCCTAAATGCAGCAACATAGCCCTCTAACAATAGCACTTCCAAAAAATTACAATTATACTTTCACACATCTCACACACGGCCGTCTGATCCCAAACTAGGCAGAGCCTGTACTAGTAATCAGACTGATGATAAACATACATATATATTTCGAAATAGATACATATTATAGATAAAGTACATCCAGACACAGAACAAATAATCAACAACTTGTCCTGGGTGGCAATTGAACACACGGCCTCTGGCGTAGCAGTAAGGGTCATTAACTACTAGACCAACAGGCCAGTCAAACAGGTACACAATCACCGCTGTGGTGTTGTATTTTGCACATTACATGGGTCTTTGGTTAGGTGTAGGTTTCCGGTAAGTTATTTACAGGAACAAGTAGATAACGGCCTCTGTATGCCTTCAGGAAGGTAATGTAGGTAGTCAATAATATATTTACCTTAAATGGTGAACTTTCAAATCCTAGATTCTTGGGCGAAATAGAGAATATGAATCCAAAATCGATGTGGATTATGTGACCTGCGCTGTCCAGTAAAATATTACCATTATGTCTGCAATAAACACAATAAATATTTGATTATATTTTTTATATGAACCTACACTATCATTATGTATGTCGTCTGATCGTAATAACAAGTCGAGAATTAGTTGGGTGTGGTGTGTGTATCCGTGTAGAGCGTGTGGTCTGTGTAATGCGTGTGGTGTGTGTACCTGTGTAGTGCGTGTGGTCTGTGTACCTGTGTAGAGCTTGTGGTCTGTGTACCTGTGTAGAGCGTGTGGTCTGTGTACCTGTGTAGAGCGTGTGGTATGTGTACCTGTGTAGAGCTTGTGGTTTGTGTACCTGTGTAGAGCGTGTGGTCTGTGTACCTGTGTAGAGCGTGTGGTCTGTGTACCTGTGTAGAGCGTGTGGTATGTGTACCTGTGTAGAGCTTGTGGTCTGTGTACCTGTGTAGAGCGTGTGGTCTGTGTACCTGTGTAGAGCGTGTGGTATGCGTACCTGTGTAGAGCTTGTGGTTTGTGTACCTGTGTAGAGCGTGTGGTCTGTGTACCTGTGTAGAGCGTGTGGTCTGTGTAGTCTGTGTAGAGCGTATGGTCTGTGCACCTGTGTAGAGCGTGTGGGTAGAGCGTGTGGTCTGTGTACCCGTGTAGACCGTGTGGTCTGTGTACCTGTATAGAGCGTGTGATGTGTACCTGTCTTTGAGCTGCAGCAGATAGCTTGTCAGCGCGTAGGCGGCGGCGGACTCTACAAAGTTGTTCTGCGCGCGCAGGAAGCCCTCGCTGTTGGGCGGCCCGTGCTCTAGCTCCAGCCACGCGCGCAGGCTCTTGCCCGACTGCTTCTTGATTTGGTGCAACGATACTGAGTTCAGCACCTGTATAGTTAAACATTGTACTACACTCATTGTTTATTTGTTGTCGTGGGGGGCAATTAAAGTAGAATGATTAAACGTTATCCGGTTTTCCATTGGATAACGTTATCACGTTAATCAAGTTGTCACTTATAATGTTATTCATGATAATGTATAACGCTGCACTACAACTAATCGCATGCGATCACTTATACTGTACCTTTTTTTTTTTTTTCGTGCGGAAATCCCCTCGGATACCACCTGTCGGTGGCATGTCGGACTCGAACCAACTAAAACCGCACGCCGTCGCCGGGTATTAGTAGCCGGGGAACCAGGTATACCCTAGAAAGGAAGTCCCTGGTGCCCCGACATACCTCGGGTCATCTACAGACGAGTAGACGACCCCCCCCCCCGTGTGGGAACCCCATGTTCCCTGTGCTCCCTGGAAGCGAGCGCGCTTCGCAACGCGCTCGCCGCCACCCCGGCCTGCTTCTGCTAGGGTGACAGATGGCCTCACCTGTCACCCCCAGGCCTGCGCGTATGGAGGACGGAGGTCGTTCTGCGACCTCCGGCGCCTGAGTCGCCTGCGGTACCTGGCCCGTTCCCGGGCCTGTTCCCGGGCCTGGCGGGCCGGGAGAGTCCTAAAACCTCTCCCGGTCCCGCTCCGCCGTCTCCTTCGCGAGCATAACTTGCTCGCAGAAGGAGACGGCAGAGTTCCACGCACTCTCGCTCCGCACGATAGCCGCAATCAGGCTATCGAGCGAGAGAACTCCCACTCCGATGGCCGCCACGAGGTCTCGCCTCTGCTCAACCCACGCCGGGCACTCTGCCAGCGTGTGGGGAGCCGTGTCCACGGTCTGGCCATCGCAGTGGTGGCACTCAAGCGTTGGCTCCTTGCGGATCAGACACAGGTGATCTCCGAAACATCCCTTCCCAGTGATCACCTGCGTCAATCGGTATGAGAGGGTCCCGTGACGCCTCTCGAGCCAATCCTCCATAACGGGTCTTACCGCCGCGATGACGGCGTGCCCGACTTATACTGTACCTATAATATGTATGACAGTAAGGTGGTAATGGACCATCACCATCCTCGTGAGTGATGGATAGAAAATAGAAAAGTAAATGAAATTCCCTTAAACTAGTGTAGTTGATTTTAATGATTTGTTTTGTATACATATTATTATGTTGCGTGCACCCGGCTCTTCGAGTGATTTAAAGCATTATTATACGAGTACTTTAGCATATGGATAGATAATGTAATAATGAGACAACGGTTATAAGGGTACTAGTTATTAACAAAAGGGATGGTTTAGACTCGATAGAAAGTTCAATCTAAAGTAACTACTGGTCCAAGATCACTAGGGGTACAAAGAGAGCGAGCGAGCGACTGACCGGCTGTATGAGTCCGCACTCCCTGTCGAGACACAGTATCTCGTAGGGGCGCAGGCGCAGCGGCACGCGCTCGGCGAGCCAGGCGGCCTGCAGGCGCCGCAGCAGCTGCGCCGCCAACATCTCCTGGCGCAGGTCGTCGCCCACCTTCACGATGCAGCCCAGCAGGCGCCACCCGCTCAGCGCGCCGTAAGGCGACGTCGACCGCATGCGAGCCAGTTTGCATTCCCATGATTCCTAAAATTCGTGTAATGCCTTTAGCTGTAAAAATTGTGAAACGACTTCTAGCAAAATACGGTTTAAACAATAATCTGAGATATCCTTGATTATATCGGCAAATTTCTTTTATCTGGGCATCTCGACTTGAGCATGAAAAATGCATTCATCGACATCATGTTGCTTTAAAAACATTCGGAAATTACAGACAGCGAACAACAGACGGATTTCAATCCTTGTACATAACCATAATAAGTTGTTTGTATCTACGTATACACACAATAATCTTCAAAGGTTTTGTAAACTTTCGAATGTTCTATTCTACAGTAGCAATGATTTAACTTCATGCCATTCGACATTAATAATAATCAAACCAACTAAACAATTGAATATTAATCAATCGATTGCATAATAATTATTAATTGACTGCACGGATGGCGTAGTGGTTTAAGCGATCGCCACGCCGCTTCCTACTCCCCACAACACTCGGCGTAGTCGCCGAGTGTTGTGGGTTCAAACCCCACATGGGACGACACTTTGTGTGATCCACAAATTGTTGTTCTGAGTCTGGGTGTTCTTTGTGTGTATGTTTGTAAAGTCCCCCGCGACACAGGATTTATTCCTAATGCGGGAGTTGCCTTTTTAAAGAAAAAAAAAACAAAAATCTTTTAATTTTAAACGTATGCCGGGTATACGTAGCGATTATAAGTTATCGTGTATTATCGTATGAAATCTTTATAATTTTATTGGCATATTTTAAATATTTTTGTTTTGCTTTTTCCTTAGTCGCTACTTTATGCAAATTATTCTACTTCTAGCAAAAATATGTGATGTATGAATGCATCCGAGTGTTTTACGTTTTAAGACTGCTAAGTGCTGTGAACCAATTGACTATTGTTAATGATTTTATTGCCTTCATTCCTTTATCGAAAAAGCGGTTGGAGCGTGTTCTTTTTAGGTGCCGTTGCATTTAGTCTGCTTGTCTAAATATATGTGTGTACTGTTCTACAGATTAATTATTTTAATATTTCTCGACGAATGTTAATTTTTTGACATTCGTTTAGCCGTTATATATCGTGATATGCCGTCACTAATAAATATAACTATACAAATAATATAACCATTATAGAATGAACTGAAACAACTTAAAGAATTGACATAATAAGTGCATGCAGTCCTTCTCCAACAAGTAAACGTAGTAAAGATACATTTGAGATAATATAATAAGATAATGTGCGTGGAAATTATTAAGGAAAATATACTAGTCAACAAATGGATCATCACTCTGTATTTATATATTACTTAATTTGTGGTAGAACCTACATTGTGTAGAACCGCAAAAATCATTAAATATTTTTAAAACTCAAAACTTTTATCTCATAAAATACTAAAACGATAAGGACTTATTTACAAGAATTTCTCGAAGTAGGAGTAAATAAGATAGTAAATAGAGAATTCTTCGCACCTTCAAGGCTGTAGCAGAAGGATCAGCCGGGTCATGTTTGAAGGCATTGGGTGGAGGGGCGGCCGTCGCATCAGCTAACCGTCTCCGAACTTCACCTGCTCCAACAGCTACTGATTCCCGGGAACCACAGGATGACGTCGATAATGCTGATATTGCGGACACCTGAAACCAATAGAATCACAATAAGCTACTAGAACTTTAAAACTTGAAATTGAAACTTCGGGAATTGTTTTCCCTTTCTGAACCAATTATAACCATAAACAAAGTAAAGTGGGACAAATATTTTTGGAATAAAACATTTAGTATCGACAGTTCCACACGCTATTACTTGGCTTCATGATAGGAGTCCTAATTTGCAAATAGTAACATAATTATAACATTAGTAAGGTAATTTTAGTCGTTTCTGATGCTTTCAAAGAGTGAAAGTTAGGTCTTCTGCATATCTGAATTCGTCCTAACGTAGAGAAATTAGAATTTTCGCAAGGAATAGGATACGAAACGTCACAACGATAATAAAGTTTAATAAAAGCCAAAATAAATCATCCAAATTTATGCGATAATTTTCCCTTACACCAGATGGTCCCTTATACCTGATTATAATGTTATAACTGAGGTACCATAGACATGTTACCTCAGTTATAGCATTATAATCAGGTGAAAGGGTACAAGCATAAACAGGGAACTATCTCCGAGACTTAGTATAATTGCTCATAAAATTACAGCTCATGGCTTATTTTCCTGTACAATTAACGTTCTCTTACGTGACACGTTTCCTTAAGTGGCGAACGCAAGTGTTCAAAAAGAGATTGTTATAAGCAGTTCATATTTGTTTTATCACATTGCAATTTGTAAATATACTATTTATTCCTTGTTTTAAGAAAATTATAAACATGGAATAATTTCATTACTACATATGTCAAATAGAAAGGATATTTCCACTAATCCGTGTGTTACTGTCGAGATAACTATTAATACGAATACAAAGGAGTTACTTTTTTTCGCTTAGTTGTTTATGGGCGCTTAGAAAGTGGATACTTTTAATGTGATCTTAACTATGACTTTGTTATCAAGAATACATTGACTATAGCATCTTTTTATGTTCAGTTATCGAGCAATATCAGCAAGGCTCAATTTCTCTTTTAAGTCACTGGGCCGGATTTTTATCATTCGCTTTCAACATCAGAAGTTTAACGAAAAGTTTTTCCTCGATATTAGATTTCTTAATAGGAATTCCCACTAAATTCTGTTTTGCAATAAATGAATTTAGAATGACGTTTGACATACAGCTAATAGCATTCTATTTATAATATTTATTGATGATTGAGGTTTGATGACGTAACAATATTACAACTCTTACGTGAATGCTCATACATTTTACAGAAAAGTATTAGATAAGTAATAATGAATCAGTGTTTGATTAGTATGTACATTAATATGCCGTACAACTGCGTATCTTAATCGTCTAGGCACAAAATCAGTCTGTGGAACAAATTATCGCCTGAGGTTCTTTCGACCGATACAACCTTCAAACCTTCACGAAAAAGCGTAAGTACCTACTCCTTCCTTAAAGGCGACAACGCGCTTGTAATTTCTGAGTTGCAGGCGTTCATTGGCGGTGTCAGTCGGCAGTCACTTTATATCAGGTGGCGCATCTGCTCATATGCCCCCTATTCCATATAAAAAGGCATTCGTACTCTGCCAATTTTAATTGGAAAAAGTAAAAAATATATTTAGAAAGTTAAGACCATTGCTCAAGGTCAAGGCATTGTTCAGAACGATCTAGTCCTAATCTAAACCTGAAAACATTGTAGCGATCATAATGGGGACCAGGAAACGCAAGAGAAAGAGAGAGAGATTTAGATATTCAAATCAATTTAAAATGTGTACCTTAACCAATATAATGTTTACAAATACAAATAAATTAAAAACAACGCTAGTTTTTTTTCCATAAAGTTTATTAAAACCTGTTTGTTCAGCGTAGGTAGAGGTTTATTTACATACATGTACGGTGCCGCGGTGGCACACACAATGACACGCGAGTGTACCCTAGTAAACAATATAATTAACAGCAAGGAAAAATCCTAAACTCAATTCAAAAACATCGAGTCTATAAAAAGCTAAGATTTCAGGTAATTATTTTCTGACGCCATAATGACGTTGCATTTTTTTACAAGACAAACCGAATCAAGACAAACACATTATCAAGATGAATGCTGTATAATCAGTATACATTTTTTTATACATCGGTGGTGTAAAACAATACGCGACTTCAGAAACAAAATGCCAATCTGAATATTTTTCAGGGATAGTGTTGTGCATTTGTTATGGTTTAAAAATAGGCCAAGGTGCTAACGAAATCGTATGTTCTAGTAACCATATATAGTTTTTTTAGATACGATTGATTTGCTATATACTGATAATTATATCTGCACTACTTAGCAACTCCATTGACCTTTGTGTCCATTTATTCATCGAATTTTAACACACCTAACGTTAACTACAACACGGAATTGACTTAAATTGTAACTTAGAACTGGACGACAGTGTTACAATAACATTATAAAAATACTTGGACCATGACATTTTGTCAGTTGGTCGTCTGTAAATCGAAATTTCTGTCCACCTCTTGTAAACATTTTGTAAAGTTCTTGTGTCTGTATAGTCTCCCATGTATCCAAGATAAGCAAAAATATACACAACCAGCAACTAGATTATTACTAGCATTTACATACATAATTTTAGATATCTCACAAGGTTTGGCTTGCGTAATCATTGTAAATTTATTATTCAGCGACTTGGTTGAAACATATTGTCCGCTCTTACATAATAAATAAAAAATATTTAAATAACACCTAATTATTTTTTATTTTCATATATATATATATTATATTTATGTTATTATATATATATAATATAATATAATAACATAAATATAATATATTTATATATATTGAAAAAAATATGGAACTGGTGTGAAAATCGCATCAACAAAGGTTTTAAGTTTGAGGGCTAGCAGATATTATAGCAGATGCGCAAAGAAACTTTGTATTATACTATGAAATGATGAAGATTAAATCCCACGCACTGAATTGTTCTGGTGTCTAAATTCCGTTTCAAGGACGCGTTTTTATATGAACATACCTATTCACATTTATAAGTATAAACCGAGTCTGTCTTTTTCCTGGCGCTATCAACACAGAAATACTCCTACGCGTCACTCCTAGATAAAGCAATTTATTTAAATATAGTATTAACCGGTAAAACCAGAACTCTGTACCTACCTAGTAGTAGTCTTAATGATAATTAAAATCGGTCCGCGTTGTGTAGAAACGATCGAATCCACAAACATATCAAACTTGAGCTGTTGACGCTAAACTACAATAAATGATATGTCTAGAAAAACAACTTTTTATTATAATGGCTTCATTACAACTACGTCAAAAAGGTTTTCTAAATATGAAAACAGATAAATTTGGATTAGTAAAGTTAATTGGCATTATTCATTTGTCCAGTTTGTTAATTGAATCGTTTCTGCATATTCAATTATTGTTCGTTTCTATTTTGTTGAGTTACAATCAATGTTTTAAATTATTTACATTTGCCAATGTCAAGCTATTGGAGATCTTAGTTCTTATAATACATATGAAATATACAAGAACTAACGATGATATCATTCTCTTTATATTTTCGTCATCATCAAATTGCAAAAGCCATTCATTTATGAATGGTTAAAACAGTGTCGGAATGATTTAAGTGGCTACACTGGCCTTTTAAGTTTTTTTTATATGGTTTAGCAAGGTGAAAACCAGTAGACGGGTCATCTCATAAATGACTACTACTAGTCTTTGCCGCCCTTTATGTATCCTCCAAGTAAAAAGTTTTTACTGCCCCTCCTCCAAGTAAAAAGTTTTTACTGCCCCTCCTCCAAGTAAAAAGTTTTTACTGCCCCTCCTCCAAGTAAAAAGTTTTTACTGCCCCTCCTCCAAGTATAAAGGTTTTACTGTCCCTCCTCCAAGTAAAAAGTTTTTACTGGTTTCCTTATGGCCGGTCGCCTGCCTCCTACGGAATGTTATCGTTTTCAGACAAGATAAAAGAAGAATGTAAATTGGAGTACGAAAAGTCTCGAATAGGGAAACGGAAATGTGAACGTTGGTAGCTTGAAGTGGCCGGGATCTCTATCCTCTGATAGGAGAAGATATTAGAACTGGGACATCAACTGTTCTACTACATAGTATATTGTATAAAAACGAATGGTGTTTTACGCAATCAAGCTAAAATCTTTCTCTCTAATGAAGTATTGTCATTTATTCACGACGTCATAGGCTCTGTCTGATTTGGAAAGTCAACTGGCATGTGCTTAACGTATACATTGTTCACACAACACAGGTGGTTCCTGTGTTTGTTGTATAATGTGTTTCCGATTACAATGTACTCTAGTGTATGTATTGTACTAACAACAAATAATATTGCACATGGATTAAATTCTGAAGTTGTCGTTTTTATTGAGTAAATAGTACCTAACTAATTTGGAAAAGAAAACCCAAAAGTAGTCTCCAATTATGATAATAGTCAAAGAGAAACCTGATAACGAATGGTTCTAGACCGGCTTGGCATGTACCGAAACCTTTAGTCGGCATTTTAAATAATTCGCGTGGTTGAAATAATATTTTGACAACTGTTTTAAATATGGCATTCTCAAAACAGAAAACAAATTATTTGGTATATTTTCCCTCCTCAATTAATTATATTTTGCGTAAGTGATCTCTTAAAATTAAATCTGTAGGTTTCACGATAACGAATGAACCGACCAGTAAAACAATAACTTTTAACTCTAACGTAATTTAAAATAACTAAATACTCTTAGTGTCGTAAGTGAGGGGATCCTTAAAGGACTTTGAGAATTCTCATTTACCAAACAAACAAAGAATCGTTAATATTTTATTATTTCACGTTGGTTGTACTCATAACTACTAGGTTCGAGCCGTCCCTATTTTTTGATCAGATTTAATGATATTGGTGTAGCTCTAATACGACATCAAAACATTATAGGTGTATTTACGTAGGTTTGTTTTATTCATCATCAGCCTATCGCCGTCCAATTTTACTTATTTTATTACTTGTGTATAATTTTATTGTCTCGAAATTAAAATATATGTATTACGGTTCTAAGTTACTAGTTAATTCACTTTGTGACCGCAACGTATAGATTACATTTTAGTTGTCAGTCACGGCATGTGTGCCCAAATATATCTCGATATAGTAAGGTAAATCTGATAAATGCTGGCAGATCGCATTCTCAAAGCTCAACAATAGGCCCACGACTGTGGCCAGGACAAACAAACGTTTTGTAAACATAAGGGCCAAAGTATTTTAAAAAACTTGATATTTATTAAGATTTATCGGTCATTTTAATCGTCAGTGCTATTGGCCTTTTAGCACGTTACCCACATAAATTTCATGAACTAGCAAGGTGACCCATTGCACGGTAGACTTGATGTTCATTGAGATTATAACTATGTACCGTAGGAAACCTACCTAGTTTTACATACGAATCTAAACTTCTGATTCATAAATTTTGTAAATAGAATCAAGCCACAAGGGTCTCTGTAAATAAAGTACTTATTTAAATTTTCGTGTATCTTTTGAATTTTTGATATGAATGTCCACATTTCGTACTTCCTTACGTCCTTAATTATACATATAACAAGCTCGTTATACTCAGTGTTATACAACTAGTAAATATGAGTTATACCATTGATGATATTAAAACTGTTTAATTATTATCATTAATTACATACACCGTATTAATCATTTGCTAGTTGCTACAAGTTAAAACAAAAATGCACATAAAACTTCTTGTTTACCAAGTAGTTGTTTTGCGCTCGCTATTCTTTAAATTTCATCAAAATCCTCTATGTATTATAAAGATTTTCGATGGCGGTAAAATTTTTTTTAGTAATCTCCGATAAGATTCAAATATTTTTTTACCGGAATCAATTTAACCCAAATTAACACTATTTAGAATGCTATGGAGCCTTTATTTGTACTTTTTTTAACCTAACCTAACTTAGTTGTACGAACACTAACTTGTAGTAAGCAAATAGAAAAATAAGCGTTATGTTCGATGATTTCCTAATCCTTAATTAACGAAACAAATTTACATGCTAAAAGTAAGCAACAATAATGATGCAGTAAAACTGTTGTTTTTACGGCATTTTCATCATTTATTTCCTAATAAATGAATTGCATGCAATAAAAAGTATCATCACTGTGTAGTTAAATCCCTTAGCTAATTCTTACTTAACTCATATGAGTATGCAAGTTATTTACCGTAATATATCAATTAAATAGTGTTCGCAATAATCCTCTGCCCTTTTCAATAGTAATTAATAATTAACGATACAAATCAATTGTATACGAATTCGTAACAACACGTGACGTAGACATTAGTAAATTATTCGTAGTGGGTATGCAACTCCAAGGGCAATAATTACGACAGGAAGACGAAATTATCATCAAGCTAAAAATACCGACAAAACGATAATAATTAGCTGTGAAAAATGTACATATTTATGTGCTAATACAGGACATAAAACTGTTTAACTCAAAGTCACGACGAGAATAAATACTCGTAATGGAAATAAGTAAGTTATCTGCATTCTCAAGTCGAAGTTTAAGTAGACGCTGCTATATTACACAGGCAAACAAAATTTCACAGTTTTTCCCAGAAACCAAAGTATACATTCCCGAAATCTTTTTGTGCGCTAAATCCAAATCCGGCCGCAGAATTGCTCTATCACGTCAGGTTTTTAAAATATTCTAACCCAAAATTGAAAGCTGAAGACTTGAACTTAAGATAACCTGTGTACTTTTTAAACATAATAAAATTGTAAGGTTTCATAACACATTATTATAATATTATTGTTATTATTATTATTTTTAAATAATGTTGTCGGACATCTGCACACAACGCCATCTAGTTTCAAACTAAGCAGAGCTTGTACTATGAAAGCTAGATTGACTGATAGAATACTTAAATACTTTTGTTTTGTAAATACATACATATTTATACTTAAATAACACCCAAACGATCCCGATACCACTGCACCACTGAGGCATTCGATATATTTAAGTCAATTATTAAATTCAAATTTCAAGACAAGAGACAAGAGATGCCTGTTTCTACTACCTGAAACTTCTATATTATTTATTGTCACTACACATAAAAACAAATAAAAGACATTTGCACTCTTTACCTTTCACCGTTTAATGATGACAACATCAATTCCCTTTAAAAATATTAAGTAATACAAACTACTATACTAACATGGTAAATACACTAACCCAGTACTCTTGCTTATGTTTAAAGAGAAAACTGTCAGAATTCTCACCAAACTTTCGCAGTTAGACGATTTTATTCACAAGTGGACTTAATTATTCAACATTATCGTAAAGAACAAAGCGAGAAAAAACTTTTTTTTGTCAATTATCGTGAAATATTTTGGTCTTTTTGGGTTTCTTTCTAACTTTGTTATTAAAAGGCACTACAACATTTCCTCAGACCAATTCTTATAAATAATTAGGTTCTCTATATCGTGTAGTGACGGATTAAGAATACGGAATGTCACTACCCCAATTCATCCAGTGGGTGTCGTATGAGCCGACTAAGGGCGCAAAACAACGCAGGACACCAGCACTACAAAAAGAAGGAAAACTTGACACAAACCCTATACCAACCCGTCTGGCCAGCGTGGTATAGTAGGCCAAAACCTCATTTCTAAGGAGAGGCCTATGTCTAGTAGTGGACTATTAAAGGCTGTTGATGTGATGTGTGAGGTTCTCTATACACGAAATTGGCAGAAAAAAGACGTAGAAGAAACTTAATTATATCACACATACGAGACCTCTGTGAAGTAATACAATAGATTTCAGATACTTTAATGGATTTTGTAAACACATTTTCGTCTTTGTTCTAAAAGCACTGACTCCGTTTAATTCTCTCAACACAGATAATACAATTATGATAATATAATTTAATTAAACATAATTAAAACAGACCCAAAGCAAAACTTACTATATTAATTTAAAAACTCATGAATAGCGCAGATTTAATTGTTGGTTTAGCTTTTTCTCTGGTAATGTTTATCTGAACGTGTAAATTATCTACAAAAGTCCCATATCAAACTTGCTGCACTACCATAGACAAGGTTAGGACGATCTTCTAATATTTGTAAAATAATATTTTAAACCCTTTAAAGGTAGACTAAGAAACTTTTATTTAGAGATACATACAATGTACTAAAAACAAGTTTGTGTAGGCAGCCTTGAAATAGAAATGAGTGCATAACTTAGATTTGAAAACATTTATTTTTAAATGCTTAAAAAATATTTTTAATATGTATAATAAAAAAAATCCGTAATGTTTTCAAAACATTGACGTCGCTCACACGAGGGCAGTAAAAATAATTATATCGACATAAAGATAGGTTTTATTGAACGTAAACTATATAAAATGTCATTGAAATGTATATGTCTTTCTGCTAAACTAGATTCTAGTTCCGGTTTTTAATGAGAATTATGTGTCAATATTAGCATATAATTTATAAAAATCAATTTTGTATTTAGTATTGTATTATTCGCAACAACTGGCAGGTTGTATTTTTTTTTTCAAATGGTACGAACTCTTGCTTATTAAATAAAAAAACGTCAAGTTTTTTTGAAACAAAATAATCCAACAAAATCTAGACATTTAATTACTTGTCATGACCTAAATTAAAATTTTAAAAAGGAGAATAGCTGACAAAATAAAACATTGGAACACAAGTACAAAAAATCAACTCTTTTAAAATAAAATAAGTTATGTTCTTCTGACCGAAGAGGAACCGGTTTCTTTAAAATTCAGTAAAAATTAAAACAACATCTTACTTGTGACAAGCTGTCCGGCGCTGGCGCTCGATGCGAATACTGTGTACTTAATTCCTCATCATCATGGCTCCAACAGTCTCCGGTGTCCACATCATCTAGTCCTGAGTACAATGATAATGCTGGCCATTCAGGCACTAAGTTTTCTTCACTTTTTGTATGCCGGATAGGGGGTGAATGAGGTGCAGGCGGCGCGGGCGGTAAGAGGCGCGGTGGTAAGGGCTCGTGTCCGTCAGTTTCTAAGACCTCCACGTACATTATGTATGGTGCCTGAGAAATAAATACAGGTTTAGTCTTTTGAAAATTATATTGGTTGAGTTTCCAATGTTTATTGACAGAGAAAAAAATAAATTGAACAGAGAATAATAGTTAAATCGAAACAGTAGTAGTAGTAGCAGCAGTACAAATTAAGTTATTCTAATTTTATATTATACCCTTAACATGTGTGTATGACGCAGTTTATAAACAAATATCGTTAAAAGGGTTTGGTAATAGTGCGTTAAGGAGTATTCTTTGTCACGACCAATAAATTGTCTATAATTCTTTTGATACCAACAAATAATTGCCTAATAATAAGTGGCAAAAGCACGCATTCAAGCATTAAGATATTTAGATAGATGGAACCTAGAAACATTTCTACCGATATTCCCATATTATTACTAGTCACTTATTCGTTTAATTTACTAGTCCAACTACATGATACCAAATACGCATACATCGTATAAGGCCGTGCCCAAAAGAACCCACTGAACTACACTTTATATTTTATAAGCATTCCTAATCTACAAAGTAGTGAGGTGTGCAATAATCAAATATTATTGGAATAATAACGCCTACGTTCTCGTCCTCTTCTATGATACGAGGATAATTATATTCTAAGATAATTAGACTTATTGCGTCAATAAGGAAATTATGCAGTTAGAAACTGAAGTAGACACGATATTTGTTTTATGAATAAGGAGGTTAAAATTATAAGGTGTGAAAAAAACATAAGATTACTGGTGACCAATGGCGGTGACACATACTAACGAAATTGATGTAAATAAGCTGACTTCATCTGTGATTCACGACTTACTAAAAGAAACTGCATTTGAATGAAAAGCCCAAAATGAAAATGTCGTAAGTAAAATAAAATAATAAAAAACATTGCGGCGATTCGCTTTGAAACAAGTCAAGTCAGTTTATAAACAAACAAGGTATTCGTTTGTGCCTCTTTTTTAATTAAAAAACCAGTGTAACAGGCATTTTATTACTAAATATTACAATTTATTTATAATGACCATTTTAGCCAATTATAATTATAAAAGTCGTTTTGTGACAAGGTTTTTTTAACAGGCACTAAGTCGAACACTAAAGGAACACGCCAAAAATCCCGCATATAGACTTATGAAAGTTTTTAACTGAAGGGACTCGACATTCCACCTGTAGAAATTTAGATTTGGGGCAATCAATTTCGAGTTTAGACAAAATAAATAAAAATTCTAGTTACAGACGTAATAAACATACCTTCTCAAGTTCAAAGTTACTCAACATTATGTATAAAATGTAATAAAGTTATTTCAAAATATTCTTGAAATACGAAATATTGTAAAGTATGTTTATGTTTTCGATAATTCGGATATTCTCTATCTGTTGCTTTACTAAATTCTAACGGATAAAGAACAGATAATTATATTACTTCTGAGTATCTAGTTTTAGTAATAATGCTGTTTTACTTCTTTGATGTAAACACATACTTGATGTTTGATTACAAACATTTAATATTATCGATATACATTAATATATTTAAATTAAATTAAAAAAAGTTGGTAAAATATTTTTTTCGAGTTATTGAGGGAAAATATGGACTGAAATGAATTTTGCAAACCTCTATAAGTCAAACTTCGGTCAATTTTCTTTTTGTTGATTTAGGCTCTATAATATTTTTTATCTCCACGTTCTCCGACACGTTATTACTAGATAGTGATAAAGCGAAGTGCATCATCGTTGAATAGGTAAACAATGTTTTGCATCAGTAATTTTCAAGATCGTGTATGTAAAATACGATAGGTTTTCTTAAACCAATATCAAATATTGCGACAGTTCAGTTATTGTTGTGTGTTCCAGTAAAACAATAGTGACAGGCTTCTTACAATCGCCTATATTATCTTGGTAGTGGTGCCTATTAGATAAAGAAAATCGATAATTAAAGATAATAATTCGTTGTAAGGTAATTAAAGCTATAATATACTTTGATCTACATTACGATATTACCCATTTGGTTAACAGTGAAGGGTAAAGCGAGGTAATCTGTCTTGAAGGTATGTAAATAAACGCAAGCAATTTACGATAGCAAGTTGACCCAACTGAAACGAATGTATGCCGCTTTATAGAGTTCTTGTTTTAGTATTTCTACAATAACAACATGTTAAAAGTTAATGAGCAAAACGCTGATAACCTTCCCCTTCTATGGAATATTACATAAAGATAGCAGAATTCACATGGAAAGGGTCAAGGTTATTAACTGAACTTTTATTACCTTTACATAATACGTCCGTGTGGTGACGGATTAAGAATACGGAGTGTCACCACCCCTATTCATCCCGTGGGTGTCGTAAGAGCCGACTAAGGGAGCAAACTACGCAGGACAACAGCATTGCAAAGAGAAGGAAAACTTGAAGCAAACCCTATACCAACCCGTCTGGACATCGTGGTATAGTAGGCCAAAACCTCCTTTCAAAGGAGAGACCTATTTCCACTAGTGGACTATAAAAGGCTGTTGATGATGACTTAATACTCTCTTAACATAAATTTTAATGTTAGAGTAGTTTCTGAAAATACACTTTTGTAACAACAATAACAGCAGTGACTATTATATTTGAAACTTCTTTTTGCACACACATTCGGCAAATGGTGGTGGTGCAGTGGTAGCGTATGCGACTGCTGTAATTAAGTCTCGGGTTCGATTCCCAGGACGGACCAAATGTTTGTATGATCTGCAAATATTTATTTCGGAGTTTGGGAATTTTCTATGTATATATATTTATTAAAAAAAGTATCTAAGTATTCTATCATTCAATCTAGTTTTCATAGTACAAGCTCTGCTTAGTTTGAAACTGGATGGCGTTGTGTGTCAGATATCTGAAATATTATTAATGTCTGAAATATTATAAATATTATATGGGTGGTAGGCGTGATACCAGTATGATACCACGGCCTCACACAAGTTGACGGGCCTGTTGGTCTAGTGGTCAGTGGCCGTGACTGCTAAGCCGGAGGTGGTGGGTTTCGATTCCCACCCAGAACAAATATTGTGTGATGAGCACGGTCATTTGTTCTGTCTGGGTATAATTTATCTATAATATGAATGTATTTAAAAATATATAAGTATGTCTATCAGCAGTCTGGTTAGCATAGTACAGGCTCTGCTTAGTTTGGGATATGACGGCCGGGTATAAGATGTGTAAAAAAAAAGATCGGTGTTAAGAACTTCTTTCGTTGCTTTCCAAGTCAATGAGGTTACCGGAGGCTACATCACACCCCTATAATTCTGGGGGAAAGCACTTAAATTGCGGCAACGCACTTGTGTCTGCCTCTAGTTGACGGTGTCCATTGGCAGCGGTAGTCACTTGCCATCGGATGGCATAGTGGTTTAAGCGCTCACCTCACCGCTTCCTACTGCGCTGAGTGGGATCCCCACATTGTTGTTCTGAGTCTGGGTGTTCTTTGTGTCCGGTTTTTAAAGTCCTTCGTGACACAGAAAGATTCCTAATGCAGGGGTTGTCTTTAAAAAAAATGTCCCGTTTGCTCCCTATACCATAAAAACTTACATAGAATCAGACAATCACCGTAATTGGTTGGCTGTAAATGGTTGGGGTTGATAAACTGAGGGTGACTAGTGGGTTTTACCTCAATAACCACTATTTATCTACGTTATAACTTCGTTTTATATGTGTTTTAATTATACAAAGGTTTTGTTGATTAAATTACTTCTCATACAAACTACAAACGACATTAAATATTGCTCCTGATATGGATATTTATTTTGAAAATAAAATTGTAAATAGCATCAACTGTTAATAGGTAGGTAATTATTTTCTTGACACGGTTTCATTATATGTAGCTATCGAAGTATTCAGTTAATGGTTCTTGCAATTTCTCAAGACTTTCTATTCTAAACGGCGATAAGTTAGCTGTATAGCTTTCCTGAATTTATTGTTTTTTTTTTAATAAAAGTCTATTTAATAGAGGTAAACAGACCCTATGAGTATGTCATCGTGTGAGCGTGCGTTAACCATAATTCAGTTGTGAATAAAAATCTGTTTCGCAACTTATCGCGTATAAATAGGTATTTACGTTCTACCGATTTTGTCTGATAGACTGCATCATGGAATACAATAGAAACCACTACGTACTTTTGAAATATAAGGTTAATTACAGATCATTTAAATATAATACTTACAAGTCCTGTGGCTTCGTATAAAATATTCTACATAGTAGCACATTATTACGAATTGTGCCTAATCTTAGTTCTAAACCTAAGTTAAATATGTATATTTGTATCTATAGAGCACTATGACACTAGAAACTAGTAAGCTAAAGATTACAGTCGTAGTCCGGTCTTACTCTCCAATAATATAAATCTAACAGTTGATCATCAAGTTAAAAACACAACACGGTTAATGTATCATTTCAAAAACTTTATCACACAACGTTTACGTTTCGTATCAAACGAGACTGTTCAAATAATATTTAAATATATTGATAATAATACATAATAATATCTGGTCTGTGAAACTGATCTACAGCTAACACGGGCTCCATCCATTGTGTACCGAGCTTATCCGCCACGTTCAATAGTAGATACATGGCATGTGTAGATTAAATTCAACTGTCTGTTTATTGCATGTAATGAACCACCTACAGCTATTTCATAGTTGTATTAACTAACTATCAATTTTAATAAGTGTTAACAACATAAAAGTATATGATTGACATTAATTTTTAACATATTGTTTATTACTATATGTAAATCCACGCAACTTCTTAGAGTTTGCAAGATGTGTTTGTTTTTTAAGTACAAGGTTTTAATTAAAGTTTTGCCATGTGTTAACTGTGTGTACTTTTACATTCTATGTACCTTTCACTCACATCACATTCTTGTAGTGGACAACTAACATGATTAAATCCATACAAGTCTCACAACGTATTCTTCGTGGGTGAGTTTCTCAAAATAGGACACCTACGTTAATGATTTGCAAACTAGGGGAACATATCAAGTACCAGTACTGTCTTTTGTATATACAATAATATACTTAAGTAGGTATACATATTAAAAATTATTTATTATTCGGGCACGCCATTATCGCGGCGGTAAGACCCGTTTTGGAAGACTGGCTGGAGAGGCATCACGGGACCCTCTCATACCGGTTGACGCAGGTGATCACTGGGAAAGAATGCTTTGGAGATCACTTGTGTCTGATCCGCAAGGAGCCAATGGCCGGACCGTGGACACGGCGCTCCTCACGCTGGCAGAATGCCCGGCGTGAGGAGCGCCGTGTCGTGTCGTGTGTGTGTGTCGTGCCGGGTGGAGCAGAGACCTCGTGGCGGCCATCGGGGTGGAATTTCTCTTGCTCAGTAAGATGATTGCGGCCAGGGTGGGGAGCGAGAGTGCGTGGAACTCTGCCGTCTCCTTCTGTGAGCAAGTTATGCTTGAGAAAAAGATTGCGGAGAGGGACCGGGAGAGGTTTAAAACTCTCCCGGCCCGGGCCAGGTACCGCAGGCGGCTCAGGTGCCGGAGGTCGCAGAACGATCTCCGTCCTCAATAAGCGCAGGCCTGGGGGTGACAGGTGAGGCCATCTGTCTGAGGTGAGGCACTGCCGAGCGCGCGCGCCTTTTTTGGGAGCACCAAGGGAACATGGGGGTTCCCACATAGGAGGGGGTCATCTACCCCATCTACATCGGGGTACCAGGGATTTCCTTTCTAGGGTACACCTGGCTACTGGTAACCGAGACGGCGTGAGGTTTTTAGTCGGTTCGAGTCCGACATAGCAACCGGTAGGTGGTTTCCGAGGGTATTTCCGCACAGAAAGAAAAAAAAATAGTATGGAAGTATGGATTAATATACTTGTGATCGGAATCAGTTAAAAAAAAACAACTCTATGAATTCAAAAGGGAGCTATTATCTTGAATGTCAGGTTCACAATCAACGACCTACAATATAGGAAGGTGTGAACGCACACTAAGCATTCAAATGCTCTAATAGGTACACTGAATCGTATCTAACGTTCAATCGAAGGTGGACGACCTTCGGGCTTACAGACTTAACTTTTAACAACACTAACTTTTAATACAATAGTAGAATAAATTATCAAGATGTACTTAATGCGTACAAGTTAATGTAACATTTGTTTTTATTTTAGTAGTAACTATTATTACAAGTATAAGAACTTTGAAATGCATAGAAATGAGATCACGTGAATCGCAAAAAATATTTTGATTAAGACTCCTAAATTTACAATCTTGTCGATGCTAATGATTATACCTTGTTTAACAGGAATTAGTATAAAACGTACGAAATGTAGTGTAGTTTTTTTGTTGTTTTTTTTTACTGAACTAATAGTAGTACTTATGCAGAATATTTATCTGAGTATTGTTGGCACAAATTTGAACAAAAATATGATATCAGATATCTTTGCTAAAATTTGAGCCGCTCTTATATGAAAGTACTAGCTCAAAACAATCCGGTTCTTGTATATTTAATAATCTAACATTTTACAATATTTCCGTTTTTGTCGTGCATCTCGGTTACCAACAAACAACTTGTAAAAAGCCAACGTCAACACTACGTTTTAATAAAAACAAATTGATTTGTTGTCGTTCAGACTAACTGATATAAAAACTACACGACAAACTTTTAGGAATTTGAAGTATCATGTGCTTGTTTTCGCCATTATCATTTTAATGCAATAGCTAAGACTCACCTTATCCTTGCTATTTAACACAGCAGCTGCATGCGGAGGTATCCTCAACACGTAGTGCGGTCTTTGATGCAGAGGTAACCACACCCTGGCGGGTAGGTTAAGGTCGAGCGCCGCCAATTCGGCCCTGAGACGGCCATTCCGTCGCTCCTTGTCTGCCACGCTAGCCAGACGGCGGCCGATATTCGTTAACGACGTTAGAAACTGAAACAAAGTATTTAAAGGTTAGTTATATACACAAAGATGGGCATTTCTGCTGATGGAGTAAGTAAGTCTATCTGTCTATTGGTGGAAAGTTTTGCATCTCACGTCTTAGTGCACAAGCGGAATGGATAAGTGAGATTCTAATAATAATCATCTTATATGTATGTATAATTAATCGATAAGAAAGACTTAATAAATATAAAAAGAAAATTGCATTTCGAAGATGCAATGTTTATTGAAGCACATTTTTTTTTAACTTGAAAATCCTCACATTTGAATGTCTGATCACAAACAAGACAGGACTTGTACTATGATAACGACTATAACGAGACTGCTGATAAAACTACCTATATATTTTCTAAACACATTCATATTATAGGGAAATTGTACTCTGACACTTTCTAAATAACGGTGTTCATCACACTAAATATTTGTTGTGAGTGAGAACTGAACCCACAGACGACGGCTCAGTAGTCATAACTACTAACCACCACACCAAATGAAAACGGATGATGTAGTGGTTTGTGTAACGGACTGCCAAAGGTCGCGGGTTCGATTCCCGCTAAAGTCCAACTTTTGCTTGTGCATGAACATTTAATGTTTGATTTGGTCTGGTGTTTCTATGTATAATAAGTATGTATTTACAAAAAAAAATGTTGTATTTATATCAGTTGTCTAGTAACCATAGTACAAGCTCTGCTTAGTTTGTGATTTAATGGCGTTGTGTGAATATGGTAGAATTAAAAAAAAGGTACGTATACTTTATTTGTATATTTCTCATAACTGAATACATATAGCGTAGATGACGTATCAGAAACAAGTCGTCAACTTTCATCCGTCAAGAGTAAGCTTTCCCTTCTAGAACGCTGTTTACTGTCTATTAAACATGTCGTTAATGGTACTAGGTGTAAGAGCTTGCCAATAATAACATAATGCACATAAATTATTAAATGTACTTGGCGTTTTATAGCTACACTAAGACTATCGAAGGTTGCGTGGCCGAAATAGATTATAAACTGCAAATTATGAAGCCTAAATCAATATTAAAATATAAACAAGTTTTTTATCTTGATAGCCTAGTTATTTTAAAACTAAATGTATACATGTTTTAATATGTTGGATCTCAAGTCTCAAATGGATTTATTGAATATTTAGATACTTTTTTATGCTTTAGACCGTGTGGTCAGTAGTCCATTCTAATGAGTCACTCAATGTAAATCTTACACAGCTATAAGTACGGGTGTACAATAAAGTTATAAATAAATTGAAATACATAAAATAGATATGTAATAATGTATGTTTATAATGTTATAATTAATAACAGTTTTTTTTTACTTAATGCATCTGAATGTTCAAACTCCTTATATATGTCCTTATACAAAAAAAGTTTTGTTTTTTGTCTTTTTCTTCATGATTATCTCCGGAACGGGTGGACACCGTGGGAGAGCCATGTTTGAGCCCAAATGGGCCGATGAATGATACTGTATAGGAGTGCACCGCAAGAACTTACAAGCTAAACTTTTTTCAAGATCTCTCCTAACATATTGTGACATATTTATGTCATATTAGTGTTATTATAATTTTAAATTAAAAGTTTTTCAATAATGGTATCTATCATTGCTAAATTGGTCGGATTTAAACAATAAGAATTTGTTTCCTATCTCACAACTCTACCGTATTAATTATTCTTTTATTAATATTAATATCAGTGTATTAAGGAAATACTACGAACAAAGTAGTTTAAATTTCTGAAATTTTTATACAGATTCCTCGTAATTTATAATGGTAATGTGGCACATTTATAGCATGCAGAAGTTCTCCAAACGAACCTTTTTGTTTATAAAAACAGAGTAAAAATCCTAGAGAATAAAGTATTTTTACAGAATGTAAAAAACTAATATGGTTATTTCCTATTATTAAAGAAATTGATGTGTCGGATTCATCTGGCGGCATCTCCATTCTAACTTTTTTCATCAAACTTGAAACAAGCTTGCTTTTGTGGGAGATCCTAGTCGTTTTTTCTAGGACCATGAGCATTTTCTATATGTATATCGAACTGTGCAAGGGAATAATGTTGTACTAAATATAAGGAAATAATTAGGTACTATAATTTTGTGGTGACGGATTAAGAATACGGAGTGTCACCACCCCTATTCATCCCGTGGGTGTCGTAAGAGACGACTAAGGGAAAAAAACTACGCAGAACACCAGCACTGCAGAGAGAAGGAAAACTTGACATAAACCCTATACCAACCCGTCTGGCCAGCGTGGTATAGTAGGCCAAAACCTCCTTTCTCAGGAGAGGCCTATGTCCAGCAGTGGACTATTAAAGGCTGTTGATGTGATGATGATGAACAATTTAAATAGGTCCGCCAAGTTATTTGGGTGAAGTTTTATTTCAGGTACTAAAATAAGCATACTAACATAAAATCAGACAATCTATGACACAGTCACCTACTAATTTTTAATGGTGCATGACGTATTCCATTCACATTAAAAACAAAAGAAGTAGTTACGTAATATGGCAATTAGTCATTAATTCTTAAGTAAAATAAGTTGGGTCAATGTTGAAACACACTTGCTAAAACCAATGTTTACACATGAGCATATTTATTATATTTATTGCTCAAATTATCGCACATGGAATATAGACAACCTAAATTTAAAAAAAATGACACTGATATCGACAACACCGCCGTATAATCTCTTTGCTGTTGTTTATGTACTCTACAAAAGTAACTAGAACAAGTGATATTAATATAATTTAACTAAATTAAATATCATATCTTATTGACAATAACTCTTTAAAATGTATTAGAACAACTTTTAAACGACGTTTAAAACATAACGTATCTATTTATGCATATACATAGTATTATTATCACACAAAAGTGTTTACCCTTTTGATGTACAAATTACATAGGTAAAGGAATTTAATTTAACTATATTGCGCACCTGTTTTTCTTATTCCCATATTTAACCTGAATATATCTCAATGCCAGTCCATCCCTGCCTACCCAAGGTCAGGCGTTTCTATTCTATGACTTTTCTTTCCTGCCTTCCTTCTTTCCTTCCTTTTCTTTAATGGTCTACCTTATTACCCAAACCCTGACATAAAAACTTAACTTCCTTCGCCTCATAGACTTACTTAATATTCCATATTAAATGCATATAAAAATTTTTTTTTTGAGGAATACATGCACATACATGCACTTATATGTGTTTAAAACATTTAAAAGGCGCCCCAAGGACTTATTGAATTATACAGTTTCTTTGTCTTTTAAAGCTAAATCTATTAGTCGACATCTATGATTAACTGAATTGTCATTAATAACGCTGGTCTTAATTAACAAGAAGAAGAGTGTTTTTTGTACAGACTTATCAAATGTAAACAAAGAGAAATTTATTTTCATTTTGTTTCTACTACTAGTTATAGTAATATGCTTAGAATTACATAAGGCAAGCAAGTTTTGTTAGTTTTTCAAGTTATTTTTACAGAAGAGCAGCTTAAATATCTGAGTGCTGTTTTTGAGGTGAATAAGATCTTTAGAGTTACTTCGAAAACAGTCCTCGTAAGAACTTTCAGGCAACTGCTAATGTAATAATCGTTGACTTCACAGACTATATTGAGTACCAAATTTCTAGAAAAATCGTCGTACTGGGTAGTATGCTTATAATAGAACTGCCAAAGCGACTTCCTAGGACTTCAACATGTAACAAACAGTTCATTGTCTTCTCACGACCTCTAAACTAGCACTTCATTAACTGCTTTGTAAGCGCTCAAAGTATTCGTCTTCTTCACTCTCATGCGCACACATACAGAAAATTATACACACGTATGTACAACAATTCTCATTTTATACACAAACAGAGAACTCCCATGCGATAATTAAGCACACAAACGAACGTTTTAAATGATTGTGAAGTAATTTTTGACGCAAAAGGAAAATAATGACCCACCTGCAGATTGTTTAAAGTTCTTGGTTAAATAACTACATATTTTATTTACCTCCTCATCTAAATGTATTACATTACTTTGGCGCATTCTAAATTAAAATGTATACAGAAACGTCCAGTCCATGGACATGTTGAGTCATTACTGTGTAGTGAGTGTGGATATGGATGTCACAGATCTTGTAACAGCTTGACAATAAAACTAGTCACAATTTCGTTTTCTCAAAATTTATAAGATTGCTATGTTTTATTTAAATTTGGAATTCATGTATTTGATCCTAGGTTCGGTAGAAACAAGACTATTATTCCATTACAAGTACGACGTAAAGTTGGTCTAAGAAGAGCGCTAATGCTGACAAGGGCTTGAAATTGAAACCTGCTGTTTTATTAACTTTGATGTTTATTTTCTATTTAAGTTACTGATATATGGCCTAATGAGAGTTTTGTTTAATATCAGTTAATATATACACTAGCTTGTATATGTATACATATTGTGTATAAAAAACACGTAAGTATTAATAGTAGTATATAAATATCAAGAAAAACTTAATTTTCTTTATTGTACGAGGGGTGATCAATAAGTAATGATAATCGAGTATTTCTAGAACGCACAAAAACCCAAATTATTTTTTTTCTGCTTGCTTATATATCCACTACTTCAGCTTCAAAAAAATGTATAAATAGGACACCATTACCGGGAGATACATTCATTTGAATACGAACTGTCGAAGAGAAAACATCAAAATGGAGAAAAATGAAATAAGAGCTGTCATCAAGTACCTCTGCCTGAAAAAAATGTCTACCAAAGACATACACAGCGACTTAGAGGAAACATTGGGGGAGTCTGCTCCTCCATATTCCACAGTCGCACGCTGGGCAAAGGAATTTAAGCTGGGCAGAACCTCCACTGAAGATGAACATCGCGAGGGACGCCCTTCCACGTCCCTTACTGGAGAAAACGTCAAAAAAGTGGAAGATATCGTGTTGGCCGATCGAAAGGTGACCGTATGGCATGTAGCTGAGGTCACAGGGATCTCCTATGGCAG